GAAAAACTAAGCAGCCAACATGAGTAAAAATCTTGAAGCAGCAGAGAAAACAGGTGGAATTCAGTGGTAGAGTGTTTGTCTCACACAAAACCCTGGGTTTGCTCTCAAGCACCACAAAAATTTTTAAAAATGTAGATACACTTTTGCACAGTATCTGCAACAAGGCAAGGAAGGCCGGAGCTATGCTGAGAATGACCACACTGACACACAGATGTTAGAGTAACTGAAGAAGTAAATCATACAGTTGTAACGGTATATATCATATACAAAAGGGCTTGACTAAAGACCCAAACCAAGTGGGGTTTCTTAGGTGATTCTATGTGTGTAAGTGTTTGCTTACAGTGAATGTTTGTGCACCATGTGCATGGCTGGTGTACACAGAAATCAGAAAAGGACTTGGATTCCCTGGAACTGCAGTTACAGATGGTTGAGTGCTGGGAACTAAACACAGGTCCTTTAAGAGCAGTAAATACTTTTAACCATCAGGCCCAAATCAAAAGCACAGAAATGAAATTAGGTCATACATTGCATGGCAGATCAGCTCCTAGACATTGTGGGGGAGAAGATAGTGGGCCCTGAAAACAAAGAGCTAGAGACTGCCCAGACGAAAACAGAGCTGTCATTACCACTTCTGTGACACCCCCCCACCTCAAGAAGCATCGGCTTGAGGCCCCCCCCACCATGCCCCCTCCCACCGCACCACACCCCATCCCACCCCATCCTTGGCTACACAGTGACACCTGCCTCAAGACAGAAAGATGAGATCATTGTCATACATTTTCAGGGTTGTTGAAAACCATAATTCACAGATCAGGAGCCTCAATATACTCCAAGCACAAGAGGCTTGACTTGCAGTACCCCAAAGCACAGTACCTTCATGTAATGGCTCAGAACCAGTGAGAAAAGGAGATCCTGAAAGCCGCAAGGGGCAGGGTCATCTCCAGAGGAGAAAAGATGTGATGACAGTTTATCCTTACAAAAAGATACCAGAATGTCAGGGGATTAGAGACCAGCTCACCACTGTAAGACTGTGGCAGAAGTGTCTTTCAGGAATGAAGGAAAAAATGTTTTTAGATAAACAAGACCTGAAAGAATTTGTTTCCAGTTTCCACTTTGAGAAATTTTAAATCCTTCACACCAAATCAAAGTGACACACCCAGTTGAGCTAGGTGTGGCTCAGAGGCAAAGGAGACCCATCTTTGCAAGTTCCAGGCCAGCCTAGTCTTCATAACAAGTTCCAGGCCAGCCTAGTCTTCATAACAAGTTCCAGGCCAGCTAGGGTTACATAGTAAGACCCTTTTTTAAAAAAAAAAAAAATTAAAAAATTGTTATTTTCTGTGTGTGGGTGTTTTACCAGCATGTATGTGTGTATGCCATGTGCATGCAGTGTCCCCAGAGATCAGAGAGGTCACTGGATCCCTGCAGGGAACTGGAGTTACAGATGGTTGTGAGCCATCATGTGGGCTGGGAAATGAACCTAAGTAAGACCCTTTCTTTAGAAAAAAATTTAAAAATAGCTGTTTGTGTCTGTCTGTAGGGCTCAGCAGTTAAGAGCGCTGGCTGCTCTTGCAGAGGCACTCAGTCCCTAGAGTGGTTTTTCACAAACATGATGCCGAGTTCAGAGCCCCAGAGCCCACACAAAAACCGAGTGCAGCACAGCTGGGTTTCTGGAACTCTGGTCAACCAGTCTACCTAATCACACATACACACAAAACACATGCATGTGTACCCTTACACATGCACACGTGCACACACACACAGAAAAACATAACTGCTATAAATATAAAACTAAAAAAAGTTTAAAAGGCAAGTCAGGCAGTAGTGGCACATGCCTTTAATCCCAGCACTAAGGAGGTAGAGGCAGGTGGATCTCTGAATTTGAGGCCAGCCTGGGCTACAGCGTGAGTTCCAGGACAGCCAGGGCTACTCAGAGAAACCTGAAAAACCAAAATACAAAACAAAAGAAGTTTAAAAGGCCCAGAAAAGGAACTTGTTGCTTATACTCATCAACAGAAAGATAGAGTGGTCCCTGTCAAGCAAAGTAGTTTTCCAAGCAAACTGCATTTCCACAGACAGAAAGCATAGCCTGAGTGCTAACTTTTTAATATATGTTCTTTACATTCCAATCCCAGGTCCCTCTCCTTCCTTCCCCCATCCCACTTCCCAAAGGCTTCTCAGAGAGGATAAGGCCTCCCCTAGGATGTCAACTACATCTGTGCCTTCAACTAATGAGGCAGGACCAAGGCGTTAAGCGCCCCCCCCACACATGTCTAGGCTGAACAAGGGATCCCTCCATAGAGAATGGGCTCCACAGAGTCCGTTTGTACATTAGTGTTAGGTCTTGGACCCACTGCCAGTGGCCTCATATATTGTCCCAACTGCACCACTGTCACCTGTATTCAGGGGTCCTAGTTCTGTCCTGTGCTGGTTCCCCAGTTGACAGTGCGGAGTCAGTGATCTCTCACTAGCTCTGGTCAGCTGATTCTGTGGGTTTCCCCATCGTGGTCTTGACTCCTTTGTTCACATTATTGCTCCTCCTTCACTTCAATTGTACTCCAGGAGCTTGACCCAATGGTTAGCCATAGATCACATCTGCTTCCAGCTGTTTCTGGAAGAGGGATCTAGATTGTAGGCTGGTTATACTTTGCTCTGTGTCTGGTACTCACTTATGAGTGAGTACATACTATATTTGTCTTTCTAGGTCTGGGTTACTTCACTTAGGATGGTTTTTTTCTAGTTCTGTCCAATTGTCTACAAATTTAGAGGTACCACATTTTCTTTATCCCTTCTTCAGCTGAAGGGCATCTGGGTTGTTACCAAGTTCTGACTATTACAAATACTGACTATTACAAATAGTTGAACAAATGTCCTTGTGGTGTGAATGTGCCTCCTTTGGGTATATGCCCAGCGGTGGTATTGCAGGGTCTTGGAGTAGATTGATTCCTAATTTTCATAATGCTAATTTTCACAGTGACTGTACAAGTTTGCACTCCTGAGTGTTAAGTATTAACTTTTATAAGAGGATATTGTTGTAGAATATTTGTTTAACTATGTAAAGATGTGTTGCGTTGCATTTGTTTAAATATATAAAGATGTGTTGCTGTTTTACCTTGCCTGCCTAAGGCACCTGATTGGTCTAATAAAAAGCTGAATGGCCAAGAGCAAGGGAGTCGGTATAGGTGGAACTTCCCATCAGGGAGAATAACTAGAAGGAGGAATTTAGGCTCAAAAGAAGAAAGTAAAAGAGACTACAGGGAGATACCAGGTGCCAGACAGACAGACATGGAGGAAGCAGGAAAGTAGGACATGTAGAACAAAAGAAAGGTAAAAAGCCCCAAGGCAAAACGTAGATGAAAAGAAACAGGTTAAATTAGGTTAAAAGAGCTGGTGGGACACTAAGTCAAAGTCAGGCATTCATAATTATAGTAAGTCTCCGTGTCTTTATTTGGGAACTGGTTTGGCAGCCCAAAGAAAATGCCAACTAGAGAATGTCTCTTTTCTTTCATTGTGTGTGTGTGTGTGTACAGCTTGTAGATTGTAGGAACTGGTTCTCATTCCACCACATGGGATGGAGGAATTAAATTCAGGTAACTAGACTTGGAGCAAAGACATTTCCCTGAGCCTCCTAAATGCTTATTCATATATGATAATTATATGAATAAAACTGGTAGATAGAGAAGAAAATAAAACCCACAAATATAACTGAAAATAAGTGTCCCTCATTCAATAATTGACCAATATAAGCAGAAAGAAAATGAACAACAGTATAGTGAATTTTATGTCCTGTATGTCTGTGTTGTGTGTGCATGTCATCCATAGGACGTAACCGGTATCTTCTTCCTCAATGTCTCTCATGAAACTGTGAGCTCATCAATTGAGCTAGGCTGACTAACCAGTAAACTTCATGGATTGCCTGGTTTTGTGCCACATACTCCCTGTTCCCAGAACTGGGTTACAAATGTGTGCAACCATACCAGCTTTTGACATGGGTTCTAGAGAGCCAAACTAACTCTACACGGCAATCTTGACTAAGGAGTCCTGACAAACCTCCCTCTTTGTCAGTTTAATCTAGCTGGCATCTGTGAAATTCCCAACAACAAAAACAGGTTTTTACCTAGCAGACATTAAGATATTTGCCAATATTGGACATATCAGAACACATGAAACAAGTTGGAATAATATAGCATATGACCTGTACTCTATATTAGCTCATGCTGCCATAGCAAACTATTGTATAGCCTTGATGGCTTAGACAACAGAAAATTATTTTCTCAGAGTTCTGGAGGCTAGAACTTCAAAATCAGATGTATGGTTGGACTGTTGCCAAAATGACCCAGTTAAACATGAGCACCTCAGTGTGTGAGATTCCCAGCATTGTCCTTCCCAACACTTGACTCTTAACCTGACTTAATTCTTGCCATTCTACACACACACACACACACACACACCTCAGTTACATGATTTGTAGGTGTTTTCTTCCGTTGTAGGGTAAGTGGCCTTTGTTTATTTATCTTTAAGACTGTTGTTAGAAGCACAGGCATTTTCACCTTAGAAAGTCTTCAGACTACCCTCTCTAAAAGCTGTTGCTTGGGTATAAAAATCCCAAAATGTGCTTGCTCCTTATCCAGCATTTCTCTCCAGATTTTTATCCCAAGAAAATAATTAAAGCCAGGCTGTGGTGGCACACACCTTTAATCCCAGCACTCGGGAAGCAGAGGCAGGCAGATCTCTGTGAGTTCAAGGACAGCCAGGGCTACACAGAAAAAACAAAGAAAAGTAATGAAGGATGAGTGTTGAGACTGGAAGATGGAGCTGTACTTGAGTGCACCTTTCAGTGGTCAGGAGAGCTCTTGAACCGACACCGTAAGCTTTGCTCATAGTTCAGAAGACATCATCGTTTTCCCCTCATAACTTAGCATTGTAGAACACTGTCTCCTGACTGGCCTTGCTGATTTATTTCTTAAGCAAAACTGAAACTTACCTTTCAATTTTTCCCACAGGTCTCTTAATATGGACTTTGAAAACCAAGATAAGGAGAAAGACAGTAACAGTTCTTCTGGGTCTTTCAATGGCAACAGCACCAATAACAGTAAGGCGTGTCATGTCATTCACCCCCACCCCATCCACATGTGCTTACCTCAGCTGACCTCTGTCCCCCAGTTAATCATTCCATGGCTTTGTGTTTTGCTTGATACAGCTGAAAGAACTATCATCTGCTACATTTTATGTTGTAAATCTGAACCCACTGAGTATTTGAGCCTAATGCTCACTACTGAGATCTTTCCTTAAGATAAGGCTAAAGGATACCCATCTCAGGCGTCCACCTGCCTGTGACTTTAGTATCTGTTTTTATGAGGTGAGGTTGGTAACTTGTACTGAGAACACTGTGATTCAGTGACTCTTAAGAGACGGCATCCAAGTACTGTGAAGAAAACTAACCATTAGGAGTGTCTCCTGATTTCAAAGATCTTTTTTTTTATAGAGGTGAATTTGTAAACAAATTATTGTGTATCCATACAGTGGAATATTATTTCATAATGAAGTACTGGGGGCAGGGAGATGACCTGATCAGTAAAGTGCTTGCCCTACAAGCATGGGGTCCTGAGTTCAGATCCCCAGGACCCTTGTAATAATCCAGGCATAGTGGCATGTACCTATAACCCCAGCCCTGGGGGGCAGGATGAAAGCACCTCTGGGGTTTGCTGGGTAGGGAGCCTAGCCTACTCTGTCAGCTCCAACTAGAGTGAGACCCTGCTCAATAAATAAGTACACATGTGTACATGCACTTCACATACATATATACTGTATATACACACCATATTCATAAAAGTGAACTTCTGGCTGGGCGGTGGTGGCGCACGCCTTTAATCCCAGCACTCGGGAGGCAGAGGCAGGCGGATCTCTGAGTTCGAGGCCAGGCTGGACTGACAGCCTCCAAAACAATACAGAGAAACCCTGTCTCGTAAAAAAACAAAACAAAACAAAACAAAAAAAAGTGAACTTCTGGTACATGCACCAATACAGATGAAGCTTGTGCTGTGCTAAGTAAAGGAAGCCAGGCATAGTTACTTCCTGTGTGAGTTCCTTTATATGAAATCCCCCAAACAACAAATGTGTCTGGACAAAAAGTTAATTCGTGGTTGCCTGGGGCTGGAGAGAAGAAGAGTAACTATAAAAGGTGAGAGCTTACTGGGTGGTTGTAAAAATAAATAAATAATGACAAATGAATAAATAAGTAACAAAGAAAATAAAACTAGAGTGTAGTGATTTCAGAGATCTTAAGTTTACCAAAGAATGGATTCTAAAATGGATTAGTTTTTAGGTGTGTGAATTCTCCCTGAGTAGAGTTAGAGAGAATACAATGCTTGTTATGGAAAGAGATGAGGAGAAAGAAGGATGGGGTCTGGGTTGACTTGAGCAGTAGACTCCCACCACCACCAGAAACACGGCTTGTGGATAGCAACATTTATACCGACACTTCCCATTTACTCATGCTTTGTTACACCAACACCAGCTGTTCCTTCCTGGTTGTTTAGGGTTAGGGTGTGGCCCGCACTCAGCACCTCAGAAAGAGACCAAGTCATTTCACCACCCAGGAAGAGAGTGAAGAAAGCCAGCTATAGTGGTGGGTCAGTATGCCTTTTCTCTGGGGAATAATAGGTCTGATGCTGGCAGACACAGCATTCCAAGAAAAGGGACTTTGCGATTTCTGACAGGAGAGAGTGAGCTTGGCTCACAGGACAGGTTACTGCTGCCTGCTAGTGAGGTCTGGATCTTAGAAACAGTTGGTAGAATGTTGATGGAGGACCATGGATGGAAAGAGACCACTTAATGCCATTCGTTTCCTTTTATTTAGTTCCTTAATGCTTCATAACCAGATTGCACTTACCCAGTTTTTTACTTCAAAATGAGAAGTGAACATGACAGAGACAGCAAAACAGAATCAGCTCTGTGAGTTTAAGGACAGCCTTGTCTACAAAAGCTAGTTGCAAGACAGCCAGAGCTACACAGAGAAACCCTGTTTTAAAAAACAAAACAAAAAACAGAATGAATCTTGAGCAGCCTTTAGACTCAGTCTTTGAGACATAGAGACAGGTAGATCTCTGAGTTTGAGGCCAGCCTGGTCTACAGAGTTTCAGGACAGCCAGGGCTACATAGACTCTGCCTTTAAAAAAAGAAAGGTCTTTTCACAAAGTGATAAAATCTTTGTGTGAAATAAAGTCTGTACCAATAACTCCTAGAAACCACACTAACGCCAGTGTGAAGTCTGACTTTGACATCAATGTATTGTGTCACTGTTATCTTGTTAGTACTTCCAGCCAGTCACTTACATTCACTGTTGTAACTCTCTTTGTTTGTTTGCTTTGGTTTTTCCAAACAGGGTTTCTCTGTGTGGCCCTGGCTGTCCTGGAACTCACTCTGTAGACCAGGCTAGCCTCAAACGCAGATCCACCTGCCTCTGCCTCCTTGGTGCTAGTATTAAAGGCACGTACCGCCACTGCCTGGCTTGTAACTTTATTTCTAAAGTCCTGTGTTGTGTAGCATATATGCAAACGGTGTAATTAAAACAGATGATAATCTCTGGTACACTACATCACAGAATCTAAGGGAAATCTGCAATGTGTCTCAGTAAAATCTCATTCAACGTACTGTGGAAGGAAGTACCTAACTGCTAACACCAGTGTTTAGTTCTTGTTATTTATCAGGGTGAAAGAGAATCATCACTTCCACAGAACACTGAGACCCAGATACCAAGAAGGTGATGAGCCAGTGCAGAGAAAGTCGGCATTCAGCCATGGAGGAGTCCATCATTCTAAGTTGAAAGGACAGGGCGGAAACAGCCAGAATAAAGGGTTCTAGGTTACTTGCCTTGGCTGTCAGTAACTACTAGATTGTCCCTGGTTATTGAAAGACCTAGAAGTGCTCAAGATAACAGGTTAGGTCAGCCATGTGACCCACAGCAAAACATCAAAGTGTGCAATGGTAACTGTGGTCTTCCTGTAGGGCTCCTAGAATACCTGACCAAAGACTCGGGAGTTGTCACTTCAGATAAAGAGTAGAAGAACCCTCTTTGAAAGTAATAGCAGTAGCAATCAGGAAAGCAGACTGTAAACTGCCTGAAATAGCACTGCACAGCCACCAGCACAGCACAGGATGAAACCTGGACAGACAGGCTCCTCTTGTGTTTCTTGGGAGAGTGTATGGTGGTTGGCCTGGAACTCACTGTGTTGACCAGTCTGGCCGTAAACTCATGGATCCACCTGCCTTTGTTCTCCACATTATTGGGATTATAGGTTCGTGCCACCGTGTCTTTTTTTAAAGATTGATTTTTTTTTTTTTTTTTTTTTTTTTTTTTTGGTTTTTCGAGACAGGGTTTCTCTGTATTGTTTTGGAGGCTGTCCTGGAACTCGCTTTGTAGACCAGGCTGGCCTCGAACTCACAGAGATCGCCTGCCTCTGCCTCCCGAGTGCTGGGATTAAAGGTGTGCGCCACCAACGCCTTATTACATACAGTGTTCTGCCTACATGCCAGAAGAGGACACCAGATTGAAGTGTAGATGGTTGTGAGCCACCATGTGGTTGCTGGGAATTGAACTCAGGACCCCTGGAAGAGCAGTCAGTGCTCTTAACCTCTGAGCCATCTCTCCAGCCCTAGTAGTAAGATATTTTTTAAGCCACGTAAATTCTATTGCCTGACTTCAGTCCTTTCATAGCCTCCAGAGACAGACCTAATGCCTGGTGAAGGAATGAAGAAAAGACAGACAGAAGAAAAATCTGGGATAGGGTAGACTGAGTTCTCTGTTGGAGAAACTGCAGCCTTGAAGCTTGTGAGTTTGTTGCCAAGAGTTGAATAGAGAGGTGGGGTTGTTGCTTACAGCGGAACAAAGAGGCGGGGTTTATGGTCTACAGCTGGATCAGGGAGGCAGATTTAGCTAACTAAGCTCAGTTGGAGTTGGTTGAGAGCGGTCTTCACCTCCTAAACATCCCCAGGAGAACGCTGCCTCCTCATGTACTCCTAAAGACGCCTCGGGGCCTCAGCAGGTAGTTGCCATTTTCCCATGGGTTTGAAGAATTGGGGTCCTTGGCATGGCCAGCCTATGTCAATATGGGCTTTCTGTACTCCCTGCACCGGACATCTGGAAGTCTTGAACTGTGAAATTGGTGGATAGACACTTGGAATTCTCTTGTTAGTAAAGAGTACCTATCTCTAATCTCCCCATTTTGACTGTAAAGCCCATGAAAACTAGACATTTCTCCTAATCCGTCCTGTTGCCTAGTGTATGATAGTTGTTGATAAATAGTTAATCAAAAGATAAAGTCAACCGTGTAACGACTCAGTTTACACCGGTGTTCTCACTGTTTGCTCCATAACCAGGTGTGTGTTTTGCCAGTGCTTATACTCCCTGAGAGGAAGAGACAGGAGGGTGAGGAATCCGAAGTCATTCTAGGAGTTGGAGGCTACCCTGGGCTACATTAAGACTGGGTTCCAAAAAATAAAAATGTTATTGTTTATAATTTTTAATTCCATAATCATGCCTTTCTATTAGCTTGACTTTCGTTCTGAAGATAATGCAGTTGGGTCTGTGTAATCCTTTGTGATTATGATTGCTATGTTAAATGTCTTGCTCTACTTTATTTTGCTTTTAAATTATGGGAATTTGGCAAAAAATGTCTAATTGGCTAGTCCATCCCCTATAGAACCATTCTCTCTGGCAGCACTAAAAGAACTTTACTTGCCCAGTGACATATTCTCTTGGCTTAGAATCTATGGGTTCAAAGAGAAATTCAATACACTCTAACACCCTTGGATGGCTTGCTAATGTAACTGTCCTTCTAACAGGTGTCTGAACTTTTGTGTTCATATTTTAATTCAGGAGACAGACTTTTGTGTAGGTCAGGATGACCTCAAAATCACTATGTAACCAAGTATGACCTTGATCTGACACACGTGCCTCAGCTCACTGGGATCACCGGTGGGCACCACACTCACAAATGAACTGATTGCATGTCTGTAGACAACAGCATGCTTTGTTGTACAGGAGAGGAGAGAGCGTGAACGGGAACGTGGTTTAGGTTTGTGGTTTAAAAGGGGTTTTGTTTGTTTACCTAATAGCAAAGTCATTTATGTTGAAGACAGTTGTTTCTGTACTTTTCTTTAGTTCTTTGACCCACAGAAGAGGCCCCACATTTAGAGGAGATGGTGTCATAGAATTTGGCCTGCAGGTGTACACACTCAGAATCCCTGTGGTGTGCTAAGGGTTGACTGTAACTCAGAGCAGACCACTTCCTGGGTCATATGTGTTTGTCACCACACCTTGATCACTATTCCCAAGTGAAATTATCCCTCTGCTATGTGGGTTACTTGACCTTCACCTAACCACTAAGAAGTGGTTTGGTTTTGAGGAAATATTTCATGGCTTATTTCCCCTAAAACTGAATAACTCTTGGGATAGGTAAATTTAAATCCTTAGAGCTGAGTTTTTTCTCATCTTTAAGACAAGCTGTCCTTGAGCCATAGTCTTCCTGCCCACTTTCCTCAGGCATCAGGGTTATATAGGCTTTTCCACTCCCTGTTTGCTCTTCTAAAATGTCTGCTTTCTTTTTGCTCTGTGAGGGTGGAGACAGGATCACACAGGCCCGGGGATGGAATTCAAGACATCGGGCTAGCACAGGTGTCTTTGCCCAACAATGCATTCTCTGGACAGCAGGTGTGGCAGTCACAGAGGCCAGAAAAGGGCAACACACACACACACACACACACACACACACACACACACACACACACACACACACACACACACACACACCACCCTCTCCCTGCAGGAGCTGTACATAGAGGCAGTTGTGAGCTGCATGGTATGGGCACTGGGAAGTGAACTCACCGGTTGCAAGAGCAAGTGTTCCTAATGCTGAGAGACCTCCCAGCCCTAGCAGTGGTGCTTAGTGTTAACGTGTCATTCCCAGCCCTTTGTGCCTATGTGTGTATTTTACTTGTAGCCTCAACACAGTTTTAACTTTAATTCCTTATAATAGATTGTGTGACAGTGTTTCATATGACATCTCAGTGGGACTAATTAAGTAGATGGCATACAAAACACATGGGGTTTCCCCTTCCATCGGTGATCATTAGATTTTGCCAATCCCTCATCTGTCATAGTTCCAAACTCCACATACAAAATAAACTTTTCTGTGTAGACTTTTAGCTAGAGCTAACCCCTGGAGACTTCATTGTAATTATCTAAGCAGTGTAATGTTTAAACATCTCTTGAGAGCCAGCAGGGGGGCTCAACATGTAAAGACACTGCCAAGTCTGATGAACTGAGTTCAAGCCATGGCACACCCACACCTAAACACAAAATAAATAATAAGTAATTGTGATTCTAAGTAATGATGATCTCTTCAGTGATTTCAATGGACAACCAAGAATTAAGAACACTGAATGGGGCTGCTCTTCCAGAGGTCCTGAGTTCAGTTCCCAGCACCCACATGGTGGCTGACAACCATCTGTAGTGAGATCTGGTGCCCTCTTCTGGCTGGCAGCCATACATGCAGGCAGAACACTATACATAATAAATAAATCTTAAGAAAAACAAAAAACAGGGGCCTGGAGCAATGGCTCAGCAGTTAAGAGCACTGGCTGCTCTTCCAGAGGACCTGGGTTCAATTCCCAGCACCCACATGGCAGCTCACAGCTGTCTGTAACTCTTGTTCTAGGTGACACCCTCACACAGACAAATGTCACATAAAATACTAATAAATATTTTTTAAAAAGGCATAACACTGTGCTGCATCCTGCTCTAGCCCAGGACTTTCTCTATTAGTTTCCTGTTTTGGTGCCTTAAAATTCATTCATAATAGCTTTTCTGATTGGCTGTTTGAAGCTGTCTTCCCTCCACCCCCTACCAGAATGGCAATGAACCCACTGACAGAAAATGTTGTTTATTACTTTTCATTATGTGTATATGGGTGTGGGCACTTGGATGCAGGTGTCCTCAAAGACCAGAAGGAACACACTGGATGCCCTGAGCTGCAGTTACATGCAGGTAGTGATGAGCCTCCTGATGTGGGTGCTGGGAATCAAACCCGGGTCCTCTGGAAGAGCAGTGCATGCACTTAACCAGTGAGCCTTCTCTAGCCACAAGAATTTTTCTTTTGGGATTTTATTTTTATATTGTGTGTATAAATGTGTGCCTACATGTGCACGTGTGTGCCCAAGGAAGATGTCAGGTCCCCTAGAACTGGGCTTACAGATGGTTGTGAGCTGCTCTGTGGGTTCTGAGAACTGAACTTGGGTCCTCTGCAAAAGCACCAAGTACTCTAAACTATTGAGGCGTCTTTACAGCCCAAAATTATTGTCTTAATGTCTTTGTATAGCCAAGTGTTTGCATGTATGTGAAGCTAGAGAACAACCTCAGATGCCACCTTGAACAATGTCATCCACCTCCTTTAGGACAAAGTCTCCCATTGGCCTGGAGCTCAGTAGTTAGGCTCTGCTGACTGCTCATCTAGCCCCAGAGACCCTCTTCCCTAGTGCCAGCCTCACAAGTACACAGCCATGCCCAGCAGACTGTGCGTGGGGTTTTGGGAATTAAACTCATATTTGGGCTTCCAAAACCAATGTTTTACCAGCTGAGCTATCCCCCAGCTTCAGGAAATTATTCTTGGTTTTTTGTTTTTTGTTTTTCCCCCTTTGAGACAAGGTCTCACTATGAAGCCCTTGCTACCTGGAACTCGCTCTGTAGACCAGGCTCACAGATCCGCCTGTCTCCGACTCCCAAGTGCTGGGATTAAAGGCGTGTGCACCACCTGACTCAAATGAAGAGTTTTTGCACACTGTAGTGAAAGCACCAAGGACAGCAAAGAGGCTCACAATGTCACTGAGAGAAAGTCATTGGGACAGTAATGCCTAGAGCCATCTGCATTTCATGGCTTACTGCATAAAGTTCTGGCTTGGCTGAGTGGGAAGCTAGGTTACTGAAAGACAAGGATGGCAGTTATAGGATATGGAGTTTGAATAAAAATTGAAGTCATGGCAGGTCTTGAAACTGACGGCCAGTTCCAGTTAACTGGTATTAAATATTTCAAATGTCTGGAAAGGTGACTCAGCAGTTAAGAGCACGGTTGTTCTTCCAGAGTCTGAGTCTCAGTTCATCCCAGCTCCCATGTGGTGGCTCACAACTGTGTGGAACTCTTGTGGCATCCTCTTCATTTCAGTATTTGTTTATACCCTCTTGGGTAGAATGAATTCTGGCCACATACTGAGGTGTTTGTTTGATGCTTGCTCTGTTACTTTCCAGTTAAGGTCTTAAAAGTCCTTAAGCTGGGAAAACTACATAAATGGATTCTAAAATATCTGAGCTCTTCTTTTAAGCCTGAAGAGGTAATGTCAGTTCATTGTTTAGACTCAGGAGTACAGTAAATTATGAGGGGGGTACGTGGCCATCTTGCCTGTTGAGAAATAAGTGGTGAGTGTGTCCTGTTTTCTCTTGCTCAGGTATCCAGACAATTGACTCCACCCAGGCTCTGTTCCTGCCCATTGGAGCGTCCGTCTCTCTCCTTGTAATGTTCTTCTTCTTTGACTCAGTTCAAGTCGTTTTCACAATATGTACAGCAGGTAAATTGGCTTCACGTATACTACAAGGAAAAAATTATAGTTTTAATCACTGTTCATATATTATGATGTGTCTGCCATGCCTTGTAAGTTGTATCTTCATCAGTCTGAGAGAAAGGTGGGAATTGGAAAACTGAAACTTCAGTGATACCACCTTTATAACTCAAAGGTCTCGGTAGGCGTGACCCTTGCATCCTCCAGTAATGTCCAGTCTGCCAATAGAAGTATTGATGCTCATAAAGGACTTGCCAGCTTTCCCTTGTGTTTTCAAACTAAGCAACGATGGAAGTACAGGGGGAAATGAGCGAGTTAAATACTCTAGGCGTCTACCTCTGCCTGCTGCTTGTTCTTTCCTCTGGGTTAAGACAGTAAGGAAGTCTTTAGAGCCAGGTGTGGTGGCGCACACCTTTAATCCCAGCACTCGGGAGGCAAAGGCAGGCGGATCTCTGTGAGTTCAAGACCAGCCTGGTCTACAAAGCTACACAGAGAACACTGTCTCAAAAAAACAAAACAAAACAAAAAGTCTTTAGGTAGTAACTTTCCCACTTGTCAAGAAAGGTATGTTGGAAGAGGGTTTTACATGAGTTATGTCATTTTTCTTATGAGTAGTTAAGAAAAAGGTTTTAATGAAACGTATTTCCTTTCCCTAGTTCTTGCAACAATAGCTTTTGCTTTTCTTCTTCTCCCGATGTGCCAGTATTTAACAAGACCCTGTTCACCTCAGAACAAGTAAGTTCTTAGGACTTTCCTCTAGGTTTTAAGAGTGACTGACGGGGATCTGCTGGGATACGCAGCCAGAGATTGGGGTTTGAGATGTTGGGCCATACTTGTTAAAACTGGAAGATAATGTCCCCTTTTCACCTTTTCATGGCAGAGGAGATACAGATGAGGCTTCCACAGTGGGAATGTGTGGGATGTGCTTCCCCCTTAGCTGGGTAGGAAGGACACAGGGGATGGACTCCTCATGGCTCTTCTTGGGTGACCGCGTGTGCTGCCCTGCTCAGAGCGCCTCACCTCCAGGAGCCATGGCTCCCTGGAAAGAAAGCTGGAGCGTGCTGGTGGAGATGGCGTCAAAACTAATCAGTTGTGGCGGCCGATTTTCTAGAAATTAGTGGTGACCAAGTAGGTTTTCCCATCTTACAAATATTATTTTATCATTGCTAAATGAATGGAATCTGTTCCTTCTCTCCAATTTATTTTCTCTCAAAAATAGGATTTCCTTATGTTCAGCCCTCCTAAAGACTAATGCTACATTAAATGTTTAAAAGCCCATGTTGGTAATTTAGTATAAACACACTTTGAGACCAGTGCCTTGGTTCAGTGGGTAGAAGAGCTTGTTGAGCAGGCCTGGTGGCTTGAGCTTGACCCTTAGAACCTGCAGTGCAAGGACAGACAGGCGCTGGCCTCCTCATGTACCCCTACCCTCCCACCCACACACAGTCATAGTAATAAATAAAATTACATTTTAAAAGTGAAATGCATTACCAAATAGGAGCTAAAGAATAATTTTTTTTAGGTGGCTCCAACAAGGCTTGGTTCTTTCAGTTTCCCGGATAATTTTTCACGTGTTTCCTACAGTTCTGGCCAGCCGTCATGAGTTCTGGTCATGAAGAACGATGGGAGCTTTGGTTATTGAATGCAGTACGCCCCTCAGTCCCACAAATGTGTGTTTTCCAGGATTTCCTTTGGTTGCTGTGGGCGTTTCACCGCTGCTGAGTTACTGTCATTCTCTCTGTCTGTCATGCTTGTCCTCATCTGGGTTCTCACTGGCCACTGGCTTCTTATGGATGGTGAGTAACATGGCAGGTTGTCATGGCACCCAGTATGCCTTCATAGGTCACGTGACCAGAGGTTGCTGCAGATTCGGACACAATTACGGTGTTCTGACAGTGTGCACACATGTTGTAGCATCATGTGCCTTCACCAAACTCTTAGTCCTGAGGACTTGACGCTCCCTGCCTAAAACACTTTTGCTCACGATGACGTCTATGTATGTTATGATTGAAGTGTTTTTTGCTGCAATACAAAGTCTTCTCTATCACAGAAACAGAAAGGTATAATAGATCTTTTCCTGCTGTCATTTCTCAGAATGTAAATATTGCATTAGCATAGCTTTGGGTTGAGTTGCTGTTTGAGCCAAGCATGATGGCACATGCTTTGTTTGTTTTATTCCAAGACAAGGTTTTTCTGTGTAGTCATGGCTGTCCTAGAACTCCTTCTCTAGACTAGGCAATACATGCTTTTTAATCCTAGGACTGAGGAGGCAGGAGGATCACTGTGAGTTCAAGGTCAACTGGTCTACAAAGCAAATTCTAGGTAGGAGTCAGGGCCACACAGTAAGACCCTCTCAAGAACTAATAAATAAAATTGCTGTTTTGAGTTGCTGACTTAATTTTCATTCAAAAAATTAATTGAATAAGTTCTGGCTTGGAATTAGGACAGAGTTTCCAACAATTTCTAAAATGATACTAAGCATACGTCTAGTATTTTGTATTGCATATTTATGCAAAGCAGAATTCTTGGCATTGACTGTAATCAAGCTAGAGATCAATTCTAGGAAATATTGAAGGCATCTATGTAGACAGTGTCATACAGCCAAGATTTGTTTTGTAAAAATTGTCAGGCACTGTCTGTATTAGTATGCAGACTTTTTGTCTCTAATGGTAAATTTATATGTAAGCCAGTGTTTGCTTCATATACCAGCTTTATCTGCCTACTATCTAGGGTCATATAAAATTGGCTGAGCAGAAAGAAGCTGCTAGTGAAGATGTCAACCTGCTATAGACTGAGTCCTCACAGACACAGTAGAACAGGCCTGCCCCATTCTCTCAGCTAGACCAGCAGCAACCTCGCCTGCCACGCCCCTGGCATCTGCCAGTTGGCTTTTCCAGGCTGCATCTGACTTCTTCCAGTTGGCAAAATGTTTTTCAGGTCACCAGCCATAACCTCTATCACTAGTTCTTTCTTTTGAAGACTGTTCCAAGGACATGAATTCAGTTCTCTATATACACATGGTATGGCTTACATATCCTGTAACGACAGCTCCAAAGGATCCCACCCTTCTGGTTTTGCAGGCATCTGCACACCCATATCAGACACTCACATAAACATCAAAAGTTAAAAGATTTTAAAAAGCTGTGTTCCAGCCTGCCTGGAGGTAGTGGCCACACGCCTTTAATGCTAGCGCTCAGGAGGCGTGTGGATCTCTCTAAGATAGAGTCTAGCCTGATCTCCATAGAGAGTTCCAGAATAACCAGCCTGATCTCCATAGAGAGTTCATAGAAAGACTCTGTCCCCAAAAATAAATATCTACTAAAGACAAAGTGCATTTTGGTGCTTGTGGGATAAGGGATACAGTGATCTCAAGGTGTTTCCCAGAGTATGGCTCATTTATTACACTCTGCTCTCCACTGTTAAAACAAAACATGCAGCTGGGCATTGGTGGTGCACGCCTTTAATCCCAGCACTTGGGAGGCAGAGGCAGGCAGATTTCTAGGCTAGCCTGATCTACAGAGCAAGTGCCAGGATAGGCTCCAAAGCTACACAGAGAAACCCTGTCTACAAAACCAACAAAACATGCACACTGACGAAATGGGGTGCTTGTTTACTTTTACCAAAGTGTGTATCTTACTCAGTGCTCTTCAGGGTTGGTCAGTCTCTTGACTTTACTAAATGATGCTTCACAGAAACACAGTACAAAATGGCAGAGGGTGTTCAGGCCAGGTCAGAAACGGTTGGAGTTGTGTTCTGGTCACAATTCAAAATTCATCTTATCAGTTATTCATGAAGCTCATGTGATGCACATTTGCACACTGAGAATACTGTAGGGAAAGAGTCCCTTTCTGTAATTTAATCACTGCTCTGTGAGACCAGAAAGAAAACTTGATGTGCATACAAATGCTGGATCCTTGGCAGGCACCACGTGTCGTGACACATGAGCAGTGCCAGGGCTCCCATAAGTGGTGTGGTGGTGCATAGGGAATACTCCCAGGTGTCACATTTAGGGTTTTTTGACAGTTGTGTGTTTAGAAACCCTTACTACTAATTTTTTGCTAAACATGGTTTAAGAAACTAGCTTTAAGGGACCTTGGTGTAAATTGGGTCACAGAAATTGTAGGAAGGCAGCTAGGAGGGCTATTGCCAAACACTATGTTGTTTAAGATGAAAATGCTGCAGATACTACATTGAAGGATTGGTGGAGGAAATTCAGTAGAGAGGACAGTGAATTATTGGGATGGTGTGTCTCGACAGGGTCTCACTCTGTAGACCTTAAACTCACAGACGGCCGCCTGCCTCTGCCCTCCTGAGTGCTAGGATTAAAGGTGTGTACCACAGGTGGGCTGCTGCAGTACTAACACGTCTGAAATGAGAGCTCAAGAGCCCTCTGTAGGGCTGGGTAGTCAAGAGCTTGTGGAAAGAGACTGCCATCCACACACCAACTGATTCCCATATTCCCCTACCCCCAGCTCTGGCCATGGGTCTCTGTGTTGCCATGATCGCCTTTGTCCGCCTCCCAAGCCTCAAGGTATCCTGCCTGCTTCTCTCAGGGCTCCTCATCTACGATGTCTTCTGGGTGAGTGTCTCTTCATTAGAAGCCCTGTTCCCCTTTGTGTTTAATTGAAGCAGTCACTGCTAAATACCCAAAGCCTGGCCTGCCGAGCATCTCAGGTGAGTCCTGCTACCCCAGGGCTGCTGGTGTTGGGCATATACAGGCATCTGCCGCGTTTGTTGGTGACATCTGTGATACTGTAGGTAGTGTGTGTGACTGGGGCAACAGACCACAGGCTGGTGAGAGTTCCTGAATAGCAGCCCCCATTCTACTGAAGGAGTGTCTGGGTGTGGAAAGACAGCAATCTACAGGCCAGCACACACAGGAAGAAGGTTCCCTTCCCTTCAGACAGTCAAAGCCTTGGCCAAGACCTGCAGGGTCTGAGCTTTAGGACAACAAAAGAGGGCTACTGACTAACTCAAGTGGCTCACCCCTTCTGTTACAGTCATCTCTTCATCTTGGCAGGTGTTTTTCTCAGCCTACATCTTCAACAGCAATGTCATGGTGAAAGTAGCCACACAGCCAGCTGACAATCCCCTAGATGTTCTGTCCCGGAAACTCCACCTGGGACCCAGTGTCGGGCGTGATGTTCCTCGCCTGTCTTTGCCTGGAAAATTGGTCTTCCCAAGGTAGGACTGGCCTGCAGGTCTCTGCCCTTAATAACCATAACTGCTGCCTTGTGTCTTCCTGCCATGGACATCTGTCTTTCTTCTGTAATCCCAATAACAAATGCCCACAGATCACCCAAGAGAGGATGGGGTGATCTCACGAGCAGGGGAGGTGTGTGTGGCTGCTGCTCCATCTCTGGCAGTGAGAGCCCGGGGTATCTTGTTCTCTCTCCAAGGACTAGGAAACAGAGTCCCCCACTATGCCACCACCATTGCCCCAGAAGGACCCCTTCCTCCTGCTAGGCCTTACTTCCTAATGGCTTCACAACCTTGGAAAACAGAGTCACCAGCTGGGGCCAAGTATCGAAACACCTATGGGGCGTCGTTTTTTCAAACCAGGACACGGGTTCTGTAGACTTTCTGCATGCTCACCTCTAAATCTGTTTCCATATGACCTGATGAGACTCGTGGAATTAAAGTTTGATAGACTACTGAGAAGAGGTATTTTACAACTATTGGAATATTCTGTAGGCACCAAATTTTTTTTTATCTAAATCATCTACATTTAGATCAGTGGTTCTCAACCTATGGGTCGCTACCCCTTGGGATTGAACAACCCTTTCACAAGAGGTCACATATCCTGCATATCAGATACTTACATTATGATTCATAACAGTAGCAGAATTACAATTATGAAGTAGCAATGAAAATAATTTTATGGTTGGGAGTTCACTACAGCATGAGGAACTGTATTAAAAGGTTGCAGCGTTCGGAAGGTTGAGAGCCACTGTGTTGGAGTCTCCCCGGTTTATTCCAGTCAAGAGTAGTCTCTCTAGGGTTTTGGAGAATGAGGAAGTGAACAGTGCTCTGTGTGGAGGACCAAGCTCGGCGCTTTCAATCCCACCAGCAGTGACTGCCCCAGGCAAGAAGAGGCTGCAGAACCCAGTGCTGCACTGGAATGGATGGAAGCTCTCCTCACCACAGGGCAGGACTGGCTGCTTACACTGTCTAAACTCGGCATGTCTAAAGCCAGACCACCTCATCCAGCCGTCCCCAGACTCTGTGACATGCAACTGGTCCTAGTCTTCAAGCCTTGACAGTAGCTTATTCTCAACGAGCCACCTCTAAAGGTAGCACCTAGTTCTCAGCCCTGTGAGATAGATAAGCAGAGTGAAGTATGTCTTCATTACTGTCCACACACACACACACACACACACACACACACCCCACCCCCTAACACCGCTGCATTTGTGGCCTGTGTCTCAACCGGCCACTTGGATGACCCTGGCTCCCCTCACTTCCTGGAGTTGGGACAGGGCTCCTGTTTGTCACTGCTGATAGCCTTTCTGTTGCTGTCCTGGCATCTGTCTCATGTGATTCCTGGTGCTGTCCCTTCTGTGTCACTCCTCTCCTTCACGTATCGTGAAGACATTGTTTGCGCCGTCCTCTGTCTTGACACGGCTGTTGCTTCATATTGTCACACCGTGGCCGCTGCTGCGGTTCCTGCTTTTTACAGTTGGCTAGAATTAGCAGAATTGGGATTCTGTGTTTTGTTTTGTTTTCTGAGACATTTGTAAAAATATGTTCTCATGGTAACAATCTCAGTGAAGCAGTCTTGGCAACCAGCGTGCTACTTTTGTCTCTGTCTGATGTAGAAGAGACACTATAAGGGACTTCCTAATAGATTTGCTTAAGAGACATTGTCACACACATAGTGTTGCCTGCAAAGTATCAAAAGTGAATGTTGCTAACAAGGCCTGCTAGACATAATTTAGGATATTGGGTGTAAACTTTGTTCACCAGGGCTCACCAGCTGTTAGGCCCATTCCCAAAGCAATGGAGACAACCAGGCTTAGAACCCCAATCCTATAACAGACAGACTGAGAAGCAGCACTAGATACCTGTGGAACGATAACCACTACATCCCCTGTGCTAGCAAGAAAAGCATGATTGAGTTAGGTGTGCAGGATGTCCCTGGGTGACAGCTATTCAAAAACCAACACTAATGTACTTAAAATGGCTCTAGCTCTACAGTCTCCTGTCCATTTCAATTGTTCAGTTAACCAGGAACCAAGAGAGATTTATGGAAGACAGCATATATGGAATGTACAAAGCCTAAGATGTGTATAAGTTAGTAGCATCTTTATTCTGCTGCTCCTCTTTGGACAGTAGCCGCAGTCTGCCTTGTGCTTTTTATTCTCTCAGTAAAGAGCCTTCCCCTTGCTTCCCCACGTGTGGAACGATTTCTCACTGGGGTAGCATATTTCCACAGCTGCTGATAGACCTCATTTGTAGTCCCAGGAGTGAATGTGTCACAGATGGTGACATTCCCATAGGAGGTCACCCACCACTCACTTCGTGCTCCCTGGAAGCAGATTGCCAAAGCCAGTGCTCGGAGGTTTTTGCACTTTAAAAAGCTGGTGGTGCTCGCCTTTAATCCCAGCACTCTGTGAGTTCGAAACCAGCCTGGTCTACAAGAGCTAGTTCCAGAACAGCTTCCAAAGCCACAGAAAAACCCTGTTGGGAGGGGGGGATTAGTGTCAGCCTGACAGAGTGGGGCATGTCAATAATCCCAGCATTTAGAAGGCTAAGGAAGAATGTCCCTTCGACACCAGCCTTGGTCCATAGCAAGACATTATCTCAAAAAGAAACAGGCCCAGGCATGGCGGTACACACCTTCAATCCCAGAATTTCAGGGAGAGGCAAGTTGAACTCTGAGTTCAAGGTGGCCTGGTCGATATAGTGAGTTCCAGGCCATTCGGGGCTGCAGTGAGACGCTGTCTCAAACCAAGAGAAACAAGCAAGCACAGACGCTTTCATTGGGGAGGTGGGCGGGGAGGAGGGCGGGAGACCTGGAGCCAGTGTGTAAAATGAAAGAGAGGAGGCTCCCGGCCGAAGCGTGGACGTGCTAGGGCGCGGCGGCCCTGACGTGTGGCTTGTGTTTCAGCTCCACTGGCAGTCACTTCTCTATGTTGGGCATCGGGGACATTGTGATGCCTGGACTCCTCTTATGCTTTGTCCTGCGCTATGACAACTACAAGAAACAAGCCAGTGGTGACTCCTGTGGTGCCCCGGGTCCGGCTAACATCTCTGGGCGCATGCAGAAGGTCTCCTACTTCCACTGCACCCTCATTGGGTACTTTGTAGGTAAGAAAGACCAGCGAGGAAATGCCCAGGCCCCTGCTCCTTCCCCAACACTCGTGGCTAAGCCAGCCAAGTCTGCAGCAGCTGCAGAACAGTAACTTTGTTTATAACCACAGGGCCCTTGGGGGTGTGCTCTGTGTGCTGTGTCCTGTGCCTGAGACACATGTAGGAAGAACATGGCCAGTTCTCAGTCCAACACACACAGCATGCTGAGAGGCTAGCCACGGGTAAACTGTCCTGTTTCTTTGTTGTTGGCCTCCATTGGTTCCAGTGCATACGTCACCTCCAGCCAACACACAAACCAAACCAGGAAGAAACAGTTGTTACCAGCAGAAATAGAAACAGTGCGCGCGCGCACACTTGCCTTATCCTGCTGCTAAAATAGTATAAAAGTACCTCGCCTTCACTGACCTGGCATTCACCTGAGACCCTGTCAGTTTGTAAGCCCTGAGGGGTCAGGCTAGTATTTACCCATCTAGCAAGTAAGGAGGCTGAGAGGGGAGCTCTTAGGCATGGTTGTAAGGCTTTGTCAAATACCTTAAGTCTACCAGGCCGTCCATAGAGCAGCCAGGTGACAAAGGGTCTCTCCTCTCCTGGCCACTCAGCCAGTCACCAATGTCTTCTCTCGTAGGTCTGCTCACTGCAACTGTGGCATCTCGGATCCACCGAGCCGCCCAGCCCGCCCTCCTCTACTTGGTGCCATTCACCTTATTGCCACTCCTCACCATGGCCTACTTAAAGGTGAGAGCAGACAGGCGAGGTGGTGACTTGCACCCTTGGTTCTCAGTAGACTGCTTAGAGCTGTTGACAGGAAGGGCTAACGATTATGTCACTACATTGTCACTGGTCAGTGAAAAACTGACATCACAAGAGTCATCCTGTCAGGACTTCTTACTTTGATAATAGCAACACCTTAGGGCCAAATGCCCTGGTGCTCCTGTCACCTCAGCTCTCAAAAGGCCTGACTTGGAAGAATTTTGAGTTCAGGACCAGCCTGGGCAACTTAGGAAGGCCCTTGTTTAGAAGCTGAAACCCTGGAGCTCAGAAAGGCCCTGGGGTCAGTGTCCATCCCCGGGTTCCACACCAAACTAGCGCCTCCATTGTCCCGATGGCTTTTAATCTTAAATTTATTTGGGATACATTACTTAATATTGAGGCTGGAAAGATGGCTTAGTGGTTCAGAGACCTCACTGCTCTTGGAGATGCCCAGCTTCAGTCCCGCACTTGTGTGGCGGCTCAGAACCACCTGTACATAACTCTAGTCCCAGGAGATCCCTGTGGGCACCAGACACACACATGCAGGCAGAGGACTCATACTCATAAACGTGAGCATTTATATTAGAGCCGTATGTAACTCCTGTCCCCTATAGCCCTAATTCACAGTAATTTCTGTTTTCTTTTTAAAGGGTTTTGAGTCAGGGTCTCAAAATGTAGCTCTGGTTGGTCTGGAACTGGCTATGTAGGCCAGGCTGGCCTACTCACAGGGATCCACTGCCTCTGCCTTCTGACTGGATATACCACCATGCACATTTTTGTGCGTGTACCTGTGTCAGCCCGAGACTGACAGACGTTCATGAACATGCCTGAGGTAGAACTTCCCTCAGGGACCAGGGTGGGTATGCGAAGTCTCCAGACACAAGCATCTCCATGCTGCAGAGGCCTAGTCATCTGCAGTGAGTAAGGTTGTTGCCGTGGTCACCACAGAAGCTCTCTCATGTGAGAAAGGACTGGTGCCTCTTGTTTGACCCTGAACTCATCCATGTCCCTTGTGTCTCCAGGGTGACTTACGAAGGATGTGGTCTGAGCCATTCCACTCCAAGTCCAGCAGCTCCCGGTTCCTGGAAGTATGATGGCTCACGTGGCAAGTGACCAGAATGCGACCATCGCCCTTCTCTCTCACCTCGGGTTTGTCTCCTCTAAAAGCTGGCTGGTATCAGAGGAGCTGCAGTGTGACTGGGTTTGCGGCTGACGGGGTGCAGGAAGGTGCTGGAGCCTACGTGCCCTTCTCTTCCTGCACGCTGCGGGCGAGAGCGGATCCTTCCAGAAGTGACTGCCCTCCCCAGGTTTTACAGATCTGGCCAGACTGTTTCCTCGTGGGGAGCAGCGGAGCTGACTTATTAACTGCAGACAACAAGGACCTGCTCTACGACGTCCAACACTAAGAGAATGGGGAAAAGCAGACCGGTGTTTCTTCAGTGAACCTCCAAAACTTTGGGACCAGTTTCCTGTGGGGGACTCCATTTCAGAGACCTGAGACAGAAGTTCTGTTCTCTTTTTTTTTTTTTTCTTTTTCTTCTTTTGGATTTATTAAATATTTTCTGTGGTGTGAAGTGACTTATTAAATCCACAGACATTGAATGACTGACTTCTTACAACATACACATAAGAATTTGTTGTAATGACTGTGTCCACCCGTGTTGGCCATGAGCAAGGACACGGTTTTATACATACGTACATATATATATATATATATACATATATATATACACGCACATAGATATCTATGAGAAACAGTGACTAACCCTGCTAAGATCATGCCGTGTAGCAGACAGGGCTTGCTGAGTCTGAGCATGTGGAGCAGCTTCCTGTGGCGTCCTTGCATAAGCTGCTGTCTGCCTCACGAGTCTCCTGCAGTCGGAAACTGTGGCCACGTCGAACCGATGGACCCATGAGCTCTGGGGACTCCTCCCTCTTTTGATCCGTGTAGCAAATTAGGGATAAAAGGTTTGATCTTTTTGACCCTTTTCTTTTTACAGGCTCTCCTCGCAGTTTTTAGGAATCGCCTCTTGAACCGTGCATGTATTATAGCAGCCAGGTGTCTTTGTGCTTTCTGATCATAGTGATGTACTACCTGTAAATACATTTTTCTATTTTATATTTTTTTGTATTTTTTTGACATTTCGTTTCATTGGTGCGCTGTATTTCCCATGCCCTCACTCCTTAAGAAAAAACAAAAAGGACAAAAACAACACAGTCCTGTCCTTGCTTTTGTGATTACAGTCTTGGGTACAAATGTCAGTTGCTTCTCTGAAAATGGGACTAAAGTCTACGAGCTGGGGTCAGAGCAGGCTGTGTCATCTCTCCAGGGCTGGGCACAGCAGTGACTAGCACAGTGTCTGCTCATCTTTATCTCGGTGACTCTGAGACAGCAGCGGGGTGTGGATCTGTTCTTCCTTGGGGTCACGGCCAGCATGGCCTGCCTGTGTGGTGCTGGTGCTGTCGACCCCAGGGCTGCTGTCATTCCTGCAGAGGTCACAGCCCATGCCCAGCTCGTCTGGGAGCAGGATGCCATCATGGTGTTGGCTTCCTCCGTCATCTTCAAATTCTGCTGAAGGGTTTGAGGGTTTGGGGTTTTGTCTCTAATAAATGACACCTTTTTCTAGCTTTTGTCCTGACTTCACTTTTGGGTTGGTGCCGAGTTCCTGTAATTTCCACTGTGCCAGAGACTGATGGGAAACCCTATCCCCAGAGTTGTCACCCGCAACTCTGGCTCTGTCACGGGGTAGCGGCTCCCTTTGTGTACAGAGCTCACACCTGCATGCGGCGTTGATGAAGGCCGAAGTAGGCCCCTGCGTTCAGTGCAGGGTGATGGGGGAAGAGGACTCCACTGTAAAGTGCCAGGAATTCCTGGCACTTGGTCTCCGTCTTCAGAATGTTTAAAGACTCCCCCAAAGCCTCGGCAGATGCTGTCAGAAGGAAGTGCGACTTGGGGAGACTCAGTACTCTTCCTGTGCCTGCTACACCCTTGGCCTCAAAAGCCGAAGGTTTCGATGTGTTCTTGTGTCTGTCAGGCAGGGTCTTTGCCAGTCTCAGACTTGGTTCCCAAAACAAGGCATGCTCTGCTCAGACTTCCATGGAGTAGGCCATCTTCCGAGCAAGATGTGCCACTTGGAGACAACAGTGCTGTATGGGACAGCCAGGGCAATGGGGAAACTTCCTCCACAGCAGCCCAGCACAGGCCTCCATCACGCAGGCAGGCTACTGTACCCACAAGAAAAGGGGGTGGCAGGGAAGGGAATTTGGTTTTGTTGCTAGTGTTGATAATAGAGCATTCCTTACCGCTCACCAGGTCAGTCTGTGTGAAACCCCTGCGGTTTGGGAAGTGCCAGTTTTCAGAGCCAGGAAATAAAATGGGTTTTTTAAACTACTTTTTGTTTTATCTGCAGGTCTTACGGGCGCTGTGTGTATGCCTGATGCCCATGGAAACCAGAAGGTCCCAGCTCCCCAGAAACTGGAGTCACAGATGGTTGCGAACTACCTTGTGGTGCCAGAAGGCAAATCTGAGTCCTCCCCAAGTGCCCTCTGTTTTTAAAATGTGTGTGCGGTTTTTTCCTGCATTTATATACGTGTGATACATGTGTGCCTGGTGGCCACAGAGGGCATTGGGTTCCCCTTGAACTAGGGGTGTTTGCAAGCTGCCATGTGGGTGCTGAGAATCAAACCCGGGTCCTGTGTAAGAACCACACATTTTTTTTTGTTTTACTAGACAGGGTTTCTCTGTAGTGTTTGGAGGCTGTCAGTGCTTAGCCAGGAGCCAGCAGCGTGTAGGCTCACTCTCAGGGCACGTCACTGAGCCTCACGTGCCCGTTTCTTCGGCACCTATGGCAGAGAGATTCTCTTTGGAACAGTGGTCCCTCATGTCTCAGCAGGAGAGAAAGGCAGTCATTTGAAACTTGGAGACAATGTGTACAGTCCAGCTGCTCCTGAGGAGGAGCGGAAACTCAAGACTTGCCTGGGTCTGCATTCAGTCTCCTTTCATCTGCTTCCCCGGAGACCCGTGGTCCTTCCATCCTTACAGGACGTTCAGTCATAGGTCAGTGCTTAGGTTGACAGGCACTAGGTACTCACACAAACCAAGCTGAACATCCTGGTCCCCTTACTGTGGCGGTCAAGTGGGTAGGGGTAGGGCTTGAACACTTGAGTGGCAGCCAACTCTGTGTACAAGATGTAGTCACACGGGGGCTCCGTGTGGAGCTCAATAGACGGTCCCATGGCTCGCTCGCTGCCTAGTCTCTGCCTCACTGACAATAGCCCAACATCCCAAGCCCCATGGGGGCCGAGCTAGACAGGCCAGCTAAGAGGACTCAACAGGCCAGCACAGAAGCCAGGGTTCCTGTCAGATGTAACATAAATGACTACAGAAAGAACGCAGTAGCAGCTTGCCACACCTTAACCTTTAACCACAACAGGGCTCAGAAGTCTGTCTTAGTCATTCCCCTGCCAAGAGGGTGTGGCAGCCCCCGTGCATGGCACTTAAAGCCGGTCATACCAGTGTGTGGTTGCCTTAGGGATCTGAGTCATACTAACTGTGGCAACCTACATAACATCACAGATCAAAAGAATTACAATTCTAGCATGGAAGCTTGGAATGGTGGTCCATGTCTTTTGTTGTTTTTTGACACAGGGTTTCTCTGTATATACCTGGCTGTCCTGGAACTCGCTCTGCAGACCAGGCTGGCCTTGAACTCACAGAGATCTGTCTGCCTCCGCCTCTGCCTCCTATGCACTCTGGACAGAAAGATCATGAATTTAGACCAACCTAAGCTACAGAGCAAAACTGTCAGAAAAGAAAAGCTCTGGTTTGGTTCTGCCTGGTTGGCTGCTTCCCTGTTGGGTAGACCATGTGAAACTTGGTTCTCCCGCAACAGAGGCACTGGAGGTCTCAATTCCTGAGCCTCAGCTTTTCCAAGTCCCCACGGAGAAGGGAGGGGGCTGTTGGACAGGGGTGGAGACAACACCGAGGCACAGGCTGGGGGAGTCTGCCAAGCCGTGGGCAGGGGGCTGCGCCTCGTAAGGGGTGAAAGCGGGGTGTTCACAGGACAAAGCCGCTGGCTGTGGCCAACATTCCAGGCCATGAGTGCCCACTCCTCCGCCTCACCCTGGCACCACACCCACATGGGAGATAGTGCAGCCCAGGACCACACAGCTAGATGTGGCTTGGAACCAGACCTACTGCCAGAGACCCCAAGGACAGAAGGGTGGGAGGAACGAGCCATCAGCCTGGCTAACGACTGCCACCAGGCAATGCATCAGTAACCGCTCCCCTGAGTGTCACAGAGAAACCATCACTGAATCAGTCCTCCACCCACCAGCGAAGAGAAGGGTTTAACCATCCCCACGTCAGGCCCCTCACAATCCCTTGCGCCTTCGAACACAGTGCACACGCAGAATTTAAAAAGTAAATCTCTAAACTAATATGAACTAAGAGTGGTTTACCCAGGGGTGGAGAGATGGCTCAGAGGTTAAGAGCACTGGATGCTCTTCCAGAGGTCCTGAGTTCAATTCCCAGCAACCACATGGTGGTTTACAACCATCGGTAATGAATTAATAATAAGATCCTTAAAAAAAAAAAAGTGGTTTACCCAATCGTGAGGTCGCAGCCTCATAGTCCCTAGGAAGGAGGCAGCAGGACTTATGTACCCAGTCAGCCGGGGTCCCAGCACATCTGCCAATTCGGCAGCAGGGCTCCTGTGGCAAGTGTGAAGACGGCAGCTGCTGAGACCTCTGAGATCTCAGTCCTGCCGGACAGAACCTAAACACGTAAATGAAAGGAATGTCCCAAGTGGACCGAAAAGTGTCCCAAGTCTGACATGTGCCAGGGCAGCCGAGAGAGAGACAGAGACAGAGAGCGCTGATTGTGTCCCTAAGACACTCAGCAGAGTCCAAGCAGCCTAGAACCTAGAAACTGAGTGTTGTGTTGAGGTCTTGGGTTAAACCAAGACTGAAACGCTAGTGTGTGTGTGTGTGTGTGTGTGTGTGCGCGCGCGCGCCACAACACGTGGAGATAAGATGATAAACCCATTTTTTTTTTGTTTTGTTTTTTGAGACAGGGTTTCTCTGTGGCTTTGGAAGCTGTCCTGGAACTCGCTTGGTAGTCCAGGCTGGTCTCAAACTCACAGAGATCCGCCTGCCTCTGCCTCCCGAGTGCTGGGATTAAAGGCATGCGCCACCAACACCCAGCTGATGAACCCATTTCTGTCCTCCCTTGCTGAGGCAGAGTCTTTGGACCCCTGAGCCTCAAGCTGGTGTCTCTGCCCGCCATGTCACTATAGGGGTGCTGGGGTTAGGTGTGCACTGCCATATCTGGCTGCTTTGTGGGTTGCAGGGATTAAACATGGGTCACCAAATTTGGACACCTAGTGTTTTTACTGCTGAGCCACATTTAAAGAGACCCCTCAGCAGAGTATCTGCACCCTGTTCGAATCCTTTCAGAACACACACTTGAACAGAAATTGAGATGAGTTCTTCGAGGTGTCTCAGGTGTGAGGCCATAAAGGCATGGAGATGATTTTTTTTATTAGATGCATGTATGCATGTCTCTGTAAGTCTACCACGCTGCATGTGGAGCTCAGAACGGGGCTGCCTTATTTCTGAGACAGATATTCATGTGTTGCCCAGCCTGCCCTCCTGTCTCCTCCTCCTGAGCAGCTAGGACAGCAGGCTTAGGCCCTCATACCTAGCTACATTTAAGACCTTGTTTTTTTACGCATGTCTCACTTTGCAGCCCTGACTGGCCACAAATTCACTATGTAGGTCAGTCTGGTGATGGTGGATGCCCTGTATGCTGTGAATATATGCTTCTCTTATTGGTTGATGAATAAAACTATTTTGGCCAATGGCCAGGCAGAAGTATAGGTGGGGCTACTAGACTAGGAGAATTCTGGGAAGAGGAACACAGAGAGGAACCACCAGGGAGATGTCATGCAACTACTGGGAAGATAGGACGCTCAGGCTTCTCCAGTAAGCCAACACCAGGTGGAAATACATAGATTTTTTTTTTTTTTTGGTTTTTATGAGACAGGGTTTCTCTGTATTGTTTCGGAGGCTATCGGTCCAGCCCGGCCTCGAATTCACAGAGATCCGCCTGCCTCTGCCTCCTGAGTGCTGGGATTAAAGGCGTGTGCCACCACCGCCCGGCTGGAAATACATAGATTAATAGAAATGGGTTAGTAAGAGAGAGCTAGTCATTAAGAAGCCCGACCCATTGGCCAAACAGTTTATAATTAATATAAGCCTCAGTGTGATTTGGAAACTAAACTGCTGCAGGACCAGGTGAAACAGAAACCCAGTCTACAGCCTCAAACTCACAGAGATCCGCCTGCCCCTGCCTTCTGAGTGCTAGGATTAAAGCTGTTCATCACCACCACATGCAACATTCAAGACTTTTTTTTAAATAATTTAACCTTATTTTATGTGCATTGGTGTGAAGGTATCAGATCCACTGGGACTGGAGTTACAGACAGTTTTGAGGTGCCATGTGGGTGCTGGGAATTGAACCTGGGTCCTCTGGAGGAGCAGTCAGTGCTCTTAACCACGGAGCCATCTCTCCAGCCCCAACATTCAAGACTTTAAAGTACCTATTATAACTATATTCCAAGATTCACAGGAAAATACACTCACAATAAATGAGCAAGTAGAAACTGTCAATAAACATATAACGAGGCTGGAGAGATGGCTCAAAAGTTTAAGAGCACTAGCTGCTGTGGGCTGGAGAGATGGCTCAGTGGTTAAGTGCACTGGCTGTTCTTCCAGAGATCAGAGTCCTGAGTTCAATTCCCAGCAACCACATGGTGGCTCACAACCATGGCTCACAACCATCTGTAATGAGATCTGGTACCATCTTCTGACCTGCATGCACACATGCCTATGTACATAATAAATCTTAAAAAGGAAAAAAAGAGAGCACTGCCTGCTTTTACAGAGGACCCCAGGTTTGAGTCCTGACACCCACATGGCAGCTCCAGGGATCTGCTGCCCTCTTCTGGCCTCTGTAGGCACTGCATGCAAGCAAAACATACAGAATAAATAATTCTAAACCGGGCATAATGAACCATGTCTTAGAAGGCGGAGGCAGACAAATCTCTGTGAGTTCGAAGCCAGCCTGCTCTACATAGTGAGTTCCTGAACAGCCAGAGCTACATAGTGAGACCATGTCTTTAAAAACCAAAACAAGACCGGTGTTGGTGGTGCACACCTTTAATCCCAGCACTCGGGAGGCAGGGAGGGGCAGGTGGATCTCTGTGAGTTCAAGGCCAGCCTTGTCTATACAGCGAGTTCCAGGACAGGCTCCAAAGCTACAGAGAAACCCTGTCTCAAAAACAAAAAACAAAACACTTAAGTACAGTAGCAAGAGAACCAAATCGGCCAGTCCTGGTGTTTGAGTGACTCCCAGGGCCCAGGAAGGGACTTAGTTTCCAAGGCCTGGCACTAGAACATGGCTCAGTTTCTATTTCACACTAACTCAGGATGCAGAGTGGTCCATATAGTGAATTCTAGGCCAGCCATGACATGACTACATAGTGAGACCCTGTTTGAAATTGCTTTGTTTTGTTTTTAAGTTCCATTTAGACTGACCACCTGACTGCCTGGTGTATCTATTGAGTGAGCAATAGTCTGAGAGCTCCCAAGTGTCCCAGGGGCGGCAGCTCAGCTTAGCTCAGCTCCGACAGCTTGTGCGGCCTGTTTGAACAGCCAACCTCCGTCTGGACCCATCCTGCACCTGTCTGAGGGCCTCAGCCCAGAAGCCCCTTACTCAACATCTCTTCAGCTGGCTTTGCTGTTATTTCATCAACTCTGTAGTGGCCTTAGGAAACGGGTCAGGAAACCCAGAAAGTCCCATGGGAAACTGAGGCAAGAGGATCACGGCAGTGATGGGGGAAGTCCTGTGTATATGTCAATAAAGCACTGTTGGCCAATAGGGAAGCAAGTTAGGTGGGACTAGGAGTCGAGCAGAACTCTGGGAAGGAGAAACACAGAAAGTCAAGATGTAACTGCCATAGGGATAAGAAGCCCGGAAACTTCTCCAGTAAGAGAAATAATTAGACTAGCAATTATGGGGTAAATACTTAAGTCAGAGCTAGCCAGTAAGAAACAAGCAAGGCCAACAGCGTCATAATTAATACAGCGTCTTGTGTGTTTTTTGGGAACTACAACACGGCAGAGCCCAGACGACTGGTGGGGAAAAACCAAGTGGCTGACAAGGAAAAGGCTTCTCTCTACCCTGCAGGTTCAAGGCCAGCCTGAGCTACAGGGTAAGACCCCGGCCTCTAAAAATTTATGTATACACATATGTGTATATATAAGATATTATCTACCTGGGCAGTGTCAGTGCATACCCTTAAGAAGCAGGGAGCTCTGAGATCAAGGCCAGCCTGATCTACAGAGTGAGTTCCAGAACAGCGAGGGTTACACAGAGAAACTCTGTCTCAAAAAAACGAAACAAGCTACACATGACAGTACGTAAACATATGTGCATATGTATGATGGTGGGGTGGGAAAGGACACCACACTTAAGGACTTTGTCCGTGTGGGAACTGAAACTGGAAAACCTTGAAAGGAACAGGAGGCGGAGCAGACGGCTCAGCTTGCCACACAAGCATGAGGACTCAGCACCACAGAAAAGCTAAGCTTGGCACACACCTGGAACCACAGCGCTGGGCAGGGACACGGACAGGATGATCATTGGGGCTTCTTGGCTGCCAGCCTAGCTCCAGGTTCGGTGAGAGACCCTGTCTCAAGGCAATCCTCTTCAGCCACCTAATTCAAACAAAGGATGTGGGAGAAAAGATAACCAGTCTACAACGTGTTAGGAACACTGGCTCTCCACATGCAAATTCACTCATATTCATTCTCCCCTCCCTCCCTCCCTCCCTCCCTCCCTCCCTCCCTCCCTCCCTTTCTCTCTCTCTCCCTCCCTCTCTCTCTCTCTCTCTCTCTCTCTCCCTCCCTCTCTCTCTCTCTCTCTGTACAGGAATCAACTCAGAATGGACCAAAGACATTTTGTTTTCTGAGATACAGTCCTACTACGTGACCCTGGCTGACCTAGAACTTGCTCTGTAAACCAGACTGGCCTCTAACTCAAGAAATTCATCTGCCTCTGTCCCTGGAGTGCTTGGATAAAAGGTATGCACTTTGTTTTTTAAGATAAGGTCTCACTGTATAGCCCTGGCTAGCCTGGAGCTCACTGCGCACTTCAAGCTGGTTGAGAGCTCCCAGAGAGCTGCCATCTCTGCCTCCACGTGCCAGGTCACATGCATGGGCCACTACACCTGGTTTAAAACCCAAGACCTCAGGGCGACACTGACACTGGAAATGCTGGGGGAAAGCTTTGAGATGTCACCGCAAGCAAGATGTGCCTAAGCAGGAGCCCTGTATCTCCGGAAAGCAAAACGAGCATCAAAGCACACGGCTGCCTAGTGCTTGTGACGTCACGAACTCAATCCCAAGTCGCTCAAAAACAGGAGCCAGCTAGTGCATGGGAGGTAAGGGTGCATGGCATCAAGGCTGGTGACCGTATTCAAAAAGAGAAAACTGACCAATGCAAGCTGTCCTCTGACCTCCACGCTGTGGCACACACATGCCCCCAACAATTTAAAAATTAAAATATGATGGCTGGAGTGGTGCCAATCTTTAATCCCCACACTTGAAAGGCAGAAGCAGAAATCTCTGTGAGTTTGAGGCCAGCCTGGTCTACAGAGAGAGAGGTCTATGGTAGCCAGGGCCATTTCTCAAAAGGCAAAAAACGAAAATGAAACCTAGACAACATAAAATAGCCTACAGTGTAAATTTCACAGTGACTACTATCCACTTTTTTTAAAAGAATCAATGGGTATGTGCAGAAACAGTAGCTCATGACCCCAAATGAGAAGAAAAACCCCCAGAGAAACAGACCCAGAGATGTTCAGTGATAGAAACAGCCAAGCAGTGTGTTTAAAGGACAATTATAAACACATTCCATATTTTAGGAAACCATGAACATGATGAGGTCGGAAAACCATGGGCAGATGGTTTAGCAGGAAAAGGCAGCTGAGGATTCGTGTCCTATCTGAGACCCACATGGTGGAACACCAGGGCAAACTCCAGAAAGTTGTCCTTTGTCTTCCCAATGTACACACACGTATACACACACATTCATACACACACACACATTCATACACACACACACATTCATACACACACACACATTCATACACACACACATTCATACACATCCACATATGCACACACACACAAATACACACATTCATACACATGCACACATATGAATGTACACACATGCATACATATGCACAGATACATGCACATGCATACAGACACACACACTGGCACTCTAAATTATAATGGTGTGGTAGTTTGAATGTAATTGGCCCCCATAATCTCATAGGGAGTTGCACTATTAGGTGTGGCTTTGTTGTAGTGCATATGGCCTTGTTAGAGGAAGTGTGTCACTATGGGGGCGGGCTTTGGGTTTCCTATGCTCAGAGTACTGCCCAGTGTCAGTCGACTTCCTGTTTCCTTCCAGATATAGCACTCTTGGCTCCAGCACCACGTCTGCCTGCACGCTGCCATGTTCCCTTGTCATGATAACAGACTGAACCTCTGAAACTGTAAGGCTGCCACCCCAATTAATGTTTTCTTTATAAGAGTTGCCATGAGGCCGGGTGGTCGTGGAGCATGCCTTTAATCCCAGCACTTGGGAGGGAGAGGCAGGCGGATCTCTGTGAGTTCGAGGCCGGGCTGGACCGACAGCCTCCAAAACAATACAGAGAAACCCTGTCTCGAAAAACCAAAAAAAAAAAAAAAAAAAAAAAAAAAAAAGAGTTGCCATGAGGGCTGGAGAGATGGCTCAGAGGTTAAAAACACTGGCTGTTCTTCCAGAGGACCTGAGTTCAATTCCCAGCAACCACATGGTGGCTCACAACCATCTGTAATGAGATCTGGTGCCCTCTTCAGGCCTGCAGGGATACATGCAGGTGGAAAATTATACATAATAAATAAATCTTTAAAAAAAAAGTTGCAATGGTCATGGAGTTTCTTCATAGCAATGAAAACCTAAGAACAATGTTAAAAAAAAATCAACAGCTGGCTGGTTCAAGGGTCTCCAATGTCACCATTTAGACCATCTAAAGCAGGTATGAGTCTGGCTGTAGGTACAGTCCATCCAAGGCCCAAATTCCACCCACCTGGGGAGTGTGAAGCTAAAAGACAACCAAATGCTGCGGAGGGGGGCGGGGGGGTAGGACAAGGCCGGGCAAGGCAGGGCTGGGGCGGGGCGGGGGGTGGGGGGGGACTTTAGGCGGGAAGGGAAGGGAATGAAGAAACACAATTCCAAGTGATTCTGGAATACAGCTGCGAGAACTCTAGGTCCCTATTTGGGAACAGTCAATCCTCCAACCCTTGATGCTCACAGCTTCACCCCATTTTCCTGAAAATTCCATGTGTCCGCAGTTGGTAGATTTCCATTAGCCCCTGCAGAATTTTAGATAAATTCCAACAGCATGCGTTCATTCCGCTCTCTGTTCTAGTCAGCATTTGGTGGGGTGAAACACGGCTGGTGGGAAAGCCTCAAGAATATGTGGGTCACCCGCATCATGAGTTCCCACCATCCAGAGCTCCCTACAGCCCCCATGAAAGAAATAAACAAATACACTGGGCAGTGGTGCCACACGCCTTTAGTCCCAGCACTTGGAGGCAGGTGGATCTCAGTGAGTTCAAGACCAGCTTGGTCTGCAGGGTGAGCTATATGAAGAAATCTTATCTCAAAAAAAAAAAAAAAAAAAAAAAAAGGAAGGAAGAAAGGAAAGAAAAGAAAAAATAAAGAAGAAATAGTTCATTTCAAAAGAGCCTGGAGTATCAGTTCAGCCACCAATGCAGAGGAAGCACCAGGCCCCTGGCTAATGCCTCCTACTCCAGCTGCCTCCATCTAGACTAAAATGATGATTCACAGCAGAGCTCACCTAATGACCTGCAGCTGTGACAAAACCATGTGCCCGAAAAGCTTAAAATAAACACGATGTACGTTGCAGAGATGAGCGCATGAACGGTAGCTGTTGAGAAACCGAACTCGCTCCTCCACCCTCTGCCCCCCAGCGTTGAGATTATAGGTTTCTCCACCATGAGCTCTTTTGTTTTGTAGCCCTGGCTGTCCTGGAACTCACTCTGTAAATCAGACTGGCCTCGAACTCAGAGATCTGCCTGCCTCTGCCTCCCGAGTTCTGGGATTAAAAGTGTGCGCCACCAGGGCCCCACTCACTACGACCACTTTGATGTGTTGTGGAATGGAACCAGGGCCCTGTGCACGCCAGGCAAATGCCCTACCAAGAATCAAATCCCCAAGCCGGGCGTTAGTGGCGCACGCCCTAGTTCCAGGACAGCCTCCAAAGCCACAGAGAAACCCTGTCTCGAAAAAAAAAAAAAAAAAAAAAAGAATCAAATCCCCATGCCTCAAGACCATTTCAGGTCTTGGACTCATTGCATGACAAGTTCAAGGCTATCTTCAGCTACACAGTGAGTTTGAGGCCAACCTGGGATACATGAAACCCTGTTGCCAAAAGAAAGACACAGGAAGTTATGAGTCAAACATGACCCCTCACAAAAAGAAAAAGATGAGAGGAGCCAGAATGATGATTCACACCTGTGATCCCAGCCCTTGGGAAACAGACAGGAGGATAACCACGAGTTCAAACCAGACTGGGTTAGAACTAAACCTTGTCTCAAGACAAGTATGACCCTTCCTTGATGGTTATAACTCAAGTGGAACTTTTTATTTTACATTTTTAAATTTATTTATTTATTATGTATACAGTGTCCTGCCTTCATGTCTGTCCACAGGCCAGAAGAGGGCGCCAGATCTCATTACAGATGGTTGTGAGCCACCATGTGGTTGCTGAGAATTGAACTCAGATCCTCTGGAAGAGTAGTCAGTGCTCTTAACCTCTGAGCCATCTCTCCAGCCCCTTCATTTTACTTGTAGTTGGGTGTGAGAGAAAGACAAGGGCAGAGACAGAATCTGTGTGAGGGAGAGAGGGAAGGAATCTGAGTCTGCACACTTGAGGGTTAGCCAGAAGCATCCATCTTGTACATTCTCTCTCTCCTGTCTCCAGTCATGTCCCCCCCACCTCCCTCCCTCTGAATACTTGCCTTTAATCCCAGGGAGGCAGGCCAGCCTGGTCTACACAGTGAGAGCCTGTTTCATAAATAGGGGGTGAAAAAACCCTAAGAAGTTTCAGCAGATTTAAACACTGCAGATGTTCTGAGGTCACAACACAATTAAGGTGGCATCAGTGAGAATGGGCATGGAATTTAATTTTTGGACTAATTGGCTACCAAGCACTGCCAGTGTCCTTAATAGTCACTGAAATGGTTAAAATAGTGAAATTTATTACACTCTGAAAAACATTGACTTTTAGTTGTATGTGTGTCACATGAGCACTGGTGCCCAAGGAGTCCCCTGGAGGTGATGGGTCCCTGGAGCTGGAGTTACCACAGCTGTGAGCAGCCAAATGTGGGTGCTGGGAACCAAACTCAGGTCCTCTGGAAGAGCAGCCAGTGCTCTCCACCTCACCCCCAAATAGTTCTAAAAAGACAACACTGAGGGTGTCAAGCAATAAAGCCAACAGCTGGCTCTTTGGAACGATGACTATAATTAATAAACTAAGGGACGAGACTTGGGAGATGAGGCCCTAGAGTCACAGCTGACTTCAATCACGTTACTAACGCCACACTGAGTTGAATCAGGTCACACTCATCGGGCTGATCAACACCGCGGGGGGTCCACCAAGCCTCCAGCCAGAGTCACGAAAGTCAACTACAGGCTGATTGCTGTCCCACGTGACCGTGCAGCCAGAAGAATCAGCACTTGGTCCCAGGCAAGCAACACTGAGAAAACGGGCCGATCTGAACGGAGCCCCAGGCTCCTGGAGGCTGAGTTTTCCAACTCAGGAAACTCAAGTTTCCCGTCATGCAACGGTCCTCAGGAGGCGCACCTGCTGGAGAGCACGCGAGAAGGACCAGCCTGTCTTCTGCAGTCGACTGCATAGCAGTTCAGGTCCAAGAGTACCCAAGTTCTCTTGGGAGGCAGAGGCAGGCGGATCTCTGAGTTTGAGACCAGCCTGGGCTACAAAGTTACACAGAGAAACCCTGTCTTGAAAAATACAAAAAAAAGAAAAGAAAGAGAGAAAGACAAACAAGCTCTAAGTGAGCAAACGGCCGTGTCCTTGTGGAAGCCGCGCTGCTGCCACCACCTAGGAGAGAGACTATGAACTCAGCGCCTTTGCAACATCCCAGTGTGCACGCCAGAGCTAGGCTCCACGCCAGAGTTACTTCACGGAAAAGGACACCCCATGGCCTCCTGAGCTGCCCTGCACCCTGAGGCTGGGCACTAGTCCTGAGATGGAGAAATCCATACTGGCTGGCTCTTGCTGGGCGCAGCTCACAGCTATGACAACCCTTAGATGCAGCAGAGTGACAGCTGGGTCCCAGTGGGGCTCCTTGTTGCTCTCCTGGCCACACACCTTGACAGGAGTCAGCGCTGCATGACTAGAGATGCCACGGAGCCCACTGTCCCCAGCGCACAAGGTCCCCGCCTGAGGGTGTGACTCAGAGTGGCAGCCACCTGCCCCGGAGGTAGGATGAGCTAAACTGGACCCATATCCCACTCTGCTCTCTGCAAGTCTGGCTTGCACTTGAGCCCACGGCAGTAGGAGATCCAGGGAGCCTAGAGACGGGGAGAGAAACCCTCCTGTGCTCACCTGGAACCAGGAGGAAGGGAGACACGTCACTTCTGCATGCTGCCAGGCCTCCCGGCCTCGGATGCGTCCTGAGAGACGGGTGTCTCTTCCCCAGGAAGGCAGCGCGGCTGCCCCGCCCCCACCCCGGAAGCCCACCTGCCCCCTTGAGCAGTGACACAATCAGAGCCTAAGCTCCCATCGCCACTTAAGGACAGCAAAGCCCACAGCAGTCCACACGCAACAGCTCCTGTCCCCTCCCCCCTGCCCAGCTGCTCTGTGGGGCACTGGGACTTAGATACCCTGCAGTCCAAGCCCCCGTGGTCTCCCTGCTGGCCACTGGCCCACTCAGCCAGGCGACGGACGCTTTCCCACACCGCACACACATGCTGTAGGGCGAGGGCGGCCCCAGGGAAGACACGCAGACTGCTCGGGCACAGGTGCTTTATTGGCCACAGGCCGCCAGCGCAACCCACACCTGCATCCCATGTGACCTCTGGCGAGGGCCCCATGACCCAACCCCAGCCATCCCAAGACGACTCTGGGGACTCAAACACTGAAATTCCTGCCACCGAGGCCTGCTCATTTGGGTCACCGCCTCCCCTCCTCCTCCTGAACCCTGCCCTGTCCCTTGTGTTCTGGCTGCTGAGCAGCAGGGCTCATGGGGACGGCCCTGGGAGTGCCAGGGTCATCAGCCCCCCCCCCCCATGGCCCTGCCTGGGCCACTCGGGTGAAGAAAGGCACTGTTGGTGGCTTGTAAAAGAGCAGCCAAGCCCAGTTCTGAGCTGACTACTCGTTTCTTCTCGGTCACAGGTCGCAGCAGCTGGCCTTTCCTCTCCCTGAGACAGGCATCCCCAGCCTGACTGGGAGGTACAGTGAGGGACATAAGGGACAGAATGAGGCGGGCCCCTTCCTGATCTGACCAGGCCTCAAGTTAACCCATGAGGCTCTGCCTTTGCCTCAGGCGGCAGGCGGCCAGCTCCCAGCGGGGCTCAGCTCCGGTAGCTCCGGAGCACATGCCCAGCAATCACCAGCCTCTGGATCTCGCTGGTGCCTTCGTAGATCTCCGTGATGCGGGCATCTCGGTAGTAGCGTTCGGCTGGCATCTCTGTCACGTACCCCATGCCACCCAGGATCTGGATGGCCTAAGAGGGAAAACAGGCACTAGAAGACAGTCCCCCACCCTGGGGAAAGACGGGGCAGGGGCTTGGTGGAGTCACAGGGAGGCAGCTGGGGAAAGGGCCACACCCATGGGTCCGGGGCTCACCTGATGGCTAATGGCGGTTGCAGCCTCAGATGCGGCCAGCTTGGCCATGGCCGACTCCTAAACTCCAAGAACAGCAGAGTCAACACCTTCACTTTCAGAGACCTTCTGTGACAGGAGCATGCACCGCCCACCCCCTCAGCACAACAGACCTTCAGGCCTACATCTACTTCTTCAAAGACCCCGTGGTACCCCCTCCCCCCCACGGGTACCTTGCTGAATGGCTTCTTATTGTCCTTCAGCATGGCGGCACGCCAGGTCAGCAGGCGGGCACTCTCCAGGGCCACGGCCATGTCTGCCAGCTTGAACTGCAACAATGAAGCCCCACCCATCAACCGGGATTCCCCTCCCAACCGTCAGGGATGGGGGTGGGAGCGTCAAGGGTGAGAGTCATGGGGGTGAGGTGACAGGATGTGCCAGTCAGAAGCAAGGCCTCCCTCCCTCCCTCAGCCCAGGCCCAGCCCTGAAACACCGCCCTCCCAACCCCTACCTGGATGTTCTGGAGCTTGGTGAGGGGCGCCCCAAAGGCAATGCGGTTCTCAGCATATTTCACAGCACAGTCGAGGGCGGCCTGGGCAATGCCCAGGGCCTGGGAGGCGATGCCAATGCGGCCCATGTCCAGGGTTTGCTGTGGGGACCGCCCAGTCAGTAGCTGCAGGCTGGGCCCAGGGCCTGGTCCCAGGGTGCTGCCCTGCGGGCAGGCTCACCATGGCTATCTTGAAGCCCATCCCTGGCTCCCCCAGCAGGTTCTCCTTGGGGATGCGACAGTCCTCAAAGATGAGGTTAGCAGTGGATGAGGCCCGGATGCCCAGCTTATCTTCCTTCTTGCCCAGTGTGAGCCCAGGTGTTGGCATGGGAACCAGGAAGGCACTGATACCCTGTAAGGTCCCAAAAGTTAGGGTGACCCCAGAGCCCCCTGAAGACGCCTGAGCTCAAGCCCTGCCCCACCCCCACCCCAATTCCCTCTACGGACTTTGGGGAGGAGTGTCAATTCCACTGGGGGAAGAGAGGCTCCACCGCAGCCCGAGCAGGAACATCACCAGCAGGACCAAGAAAGCTCTGGCCTGGAAATTGCAAGGACCATCCCAGGGGTGCGCTGGCCCATTCTGGGCTCCCACCTTGTTCTTCTGGGACCGATCTGTACTGGCAAACACCACTGTGGCCGAAGCCTCCCAGGAGTTGGTGATCCAGGCTTTGGTGCCATTGAGGACCCACGAGTCACCGTCTTCCCGGGCCGTGGTGGAAGCAGCCCCGGCATCACTGCCATTCCCTGCCAGGGACACAGACTCAGGACCCAGAACACACCCTCAAGGCACAGGGCATCTAGCTGTGAGCCCTGCTGCCAAGCACAAAGACCCTGCAACTCGGCTCCACAGCTGGACCTGGCTCCCAACCCTTTAGAGACTCACCCATGAGACACGGGGATCAGAGCAGGCATGGGACACAGTCAAGCCAACCTTTCCCTCACCCCAAGTGGGCATGTGCCTCCTGCTGTGTCCAGGCGGCTGCAGTTCACCAACAGCCCACCCCGAGGACCCTCCAGTGGTGCAGGACTCCAGGAACAGCAGGTCCCAGGGCTGCCCCTCCCTCTGGGGACATCTGGCTTCTGCCTGCTACCCTGATTCTGAGGTGAGGAGACAGGGGACCCTGCACGAGCAGTACCTGGCTCACTGAGGGCAAAGCAGCCGATTTTATCTCCACTGGTGAAAGGGGTGATCCACCGCTGCTTCTGCTCTGGGGACCCGAACTTCAGGATGGGCCCCAAGTAGAGAGACTGAGGGGAAAGCAGAGAGTTGGTGGCAGCCTCAAGACTCACTATCTCCGGAAGCCCTCCCAGGCGACTAACGCCACAGGTGACTACAAGATGAGTCTAGGAGCCCAAACTGGCTGTGCCTGCCTGTGGGACCCTGGCCAGAGTCTACACATAGCCCAGGAAGCTTCCCCAACTGTGCCCAAGCTGGCTGTGCCTGGCTGTGGGACACACGGCCAGGGTCCACACAACATAGCCCAGGCACATAGCCCAGGCAGCTTCCCCAGCTGTACCCCGGACCCAGGAAGGCTCACGTTGTTGACGCTCATGATAACTCCGGTGGAGGCGCAGCCACGGCTGATCTCCTCCAGGGCAATGGAGTAGGCCAGGTAATCCAGGCCCGCACCACCGAACTCCTCTGGGACATCCATGGCCAGCAGCCCGAGCTCGCCCATCTTCTTCACCTGGCCCCGGGGAGCGAGAACACATCAGTGGCAGCTGCTTTGAGCCTACTCCTCCCCAACTCCAGCCCGAGCGGGTGCCTGCAAGCTCAGGCCAGGGGTGCTAACATTCACACAGTGGTCACATTCCCCCGGCTGAGGTTCCCATGACAGCACCATCCATGCCAGTCATGCGACCTCCACACTTTGCAACGCCTGCATCTCTGCCGATAGCTGCAGCAGGGAACAGGGAGAGGGTGCCCACTGGAGGATTTGGGGTAAGGAGCAGAAAGCAATAAGCCACAGTGACTTTTCTTCAGTCCCCTACATGCGTGTATGTGGAGTCACAGGACCTTTGCGCCTGTGCCAATTCACTGTTTACCCTGCTCGGACAGTTATACCCTCCCGCTAGCACCTGCTGAAACCCGGGACAAAGGGCTCAGGCGCCTATTTAACATATCTAAGCTGCACCAGGCTGGCTAACCCCCAGGTTCTCCCAGCATCCCTCAGTCCCTACCTGTTACGGGGTATGGCTTGCGTACCCCGCCCTCTACGCTGAACTCTGCTTGGCAGAGACAGGACGGCTCTTCCCTATATAATGCAGACATTTTGGTTTCCTGCTCTTTTTTGTGCTTTGGCTTCCGGGCTGCTGCACCTGGTTCCCCTCTCTTTCCCTCCCCAGCTCAGCCTGGGGCAGCCATGTCCTTTTCTTTGCTTTTTCTTTTTTTCACTCACTGGACCCCTGAGAGGCTCAGGACTCTAAACCTGGCACCCCATCCCAAACAAAAGTACCATTTCAAGGTTAAGAACTGAAGTTGTAAACACTGGCATTGTAAACTCGTATTGCTTTCCTTTGTTAGTTTAGGCATAAAAAGACTGAAGTCCAAGTTGGTAGTGAAACAGCCAACAAGGCAGAAACTGACCCCCCCAAGTCTTGCCCACTTCCTGGAAGCAGCCCCTCGGCCCCTTGGTAAACTTGCCGGTATTATTCTGGGTAATAAAACCATTCCTCGGCAAAAAGCTTAGGAATCTCCAAGCCCTGGGCTTCAGTCACTCTATAGGCCTGGTGGCCTGGAACTCACCCTGTAGACCAGGCTGACCTCAAACTCAGAGATGCTGGTTACGCTCCAGGGCTCTAGGCTGCTCTGGGATTTGGGGTGTGTGCCACCACACCCAGCCCCACGCCCAGCCCCACGTTCCCCGTTCTACTCTAGGTGGGGTTTTTTTTGGTTTTTCTTTCTTTTGGTTTTTTTTTCTGCCTGTTTCCAGTTGAGCTGATGCCAGTGTTCCCTGCATGGCTGTGGGTGAGCAAAGGCACCCGGTTTTGTTGGACATGTCTTCAGGTGTCACTGGCCACAGACAGGCTTTACCCTGGGGATGGTCCTGAGAATGACACGCCTGCACACATGGGAGAAGTGGACTAGGAGGAGGGAGTCATGGGGCAGCTCAGGGGACAACATCTGTGCCACCGGGGCTGGGCGCTTGCTTGGTGGCTGTGGAGTCACTAAGTCAATGTCTGTCTCCCTCCCTCTCTCTCTCTCTCTCTCTCTCTCTCTCTCTCTGTCTCTGTCTCTGTCTCTCCCTCCCTCCCTTTCTCCCTCCGCCCTTCCTCTTTCCTCTCTCCCTCCCCCCACTTTGTTTTTCAAGACATGGTTTCTCTGTGTAGTCCTGGCTGTTCTGGAACTCCCTCTGTAGACCAGGTTGGCCTCTGCCTCCCAGTGCTGGGACTAAAGGCATGTGCCACCACCACCCAGCTGCATTTGCTGCTCTTGCAGAGGGCCAGGGTTCAATTCCCAGGACCCACACCGTAGCTTAAACTGCCTGCTAACTTCAGTCTCAGGAGATACAACGCCCTCTTCTGGCATTAACAGGCATTACATGCACATGGTACACAGGCAGAAAAGCAGGCACACACATAGGCATTAAATGAATAAATAAATCTTTTAAAACCTTCTGAGCACATACTGAGCTTCCTGCCTGAGGTCTCAGTGACTCTGACTGCTGCCACTCTTACAAGGGCAAGTGGCTGAGGCTGCTGTGCTCACCTGAGCTGTGGGGAAGAGATGTTCCTTGTCCAGTTGGGCTGCAATGGGGACCAGCTCCTTCTCAGCAAAGTCACGGCATGTCTGACGCAACATCTGATGTGTCTCGGGCAGTTCCACAGATTGGTAAACAGTATGTAACCTGCGCCAGTCTTGAGGCTGGAGAGCTATCAGAGAAGAGCAGGGGTTAGGGAAGGGCAGGGCAAGAGATCTTAAGAGTTATTACCTGTGTATCTGTTTGTGTACATGCACGTAGATGCCCATGGAGGCCAGGAGAGGGCGTCAGGTCCCGTGGACCTGGAGTTACAGGCAGCTGGGAGCTGCCCATCATGGGTGCTGGAATCTGAACTCAGGTCCTCTGCAAAAGCAGCAAATGCTGAGGCAGGGGGTCGAGCCTGGAGTACAGGCTAGCCTAGGCAATATATCAAGATTCCGTTTCAGGGGCTGGAGAGATGGCTCAGCAGTTAAGAGCACTGACTGCTCTTCCAGAGGACCTGGAGCAGTTCCCAGCACCCATGGGGTGGCTCACAATTGTCTGTAACTAAGTTCCAGGGGATCTGATATGCTCTTCTGCCCTCTGGGCACACATGTATGTGGCACACTTACATGCAAGCAAGACACTTGTACTCGTAAAATAAAATTTTATATATATAAAAAAAGATAGAACACTACTCCCGGGTCCCTACCCCCTTCTCAAAGAAAACAAAAGGACTTTATTGATACAATGTCAATAGGGTTGTTACTGAAAAGCCCAGGCTAACCGAACGCTTAACTCTTAACTGCTGGCTAAACACTGCATCCTCAGAATAATCCCAATTACAACACCTTGTGAAACAGTTTTAAGTTTCACTGGGACTGGAGTTTTGTAAAGTGTGGAAAGCAACAGCACTAAGCTCCCAGGAGCGTGGGAGTTAAAGAAGTACCAATGGCTGGTGTTTAGCACAGGTCGATTGTTACTGTGGATCTAATGCAGGGTTGCTACAAATGAGACAAAACAGTATTAAAAATAACTAAAGGCGCCGGGCGGGGGTGCCACAGGCCTTGAATCCCAGAATTCGGAAGGCAGAGACAGGCTGATCTCTGTGATCTGGAGGCCAGTCTGGTACAGAGCTACACAGAAAAACCCTGTCTCGAAAACACATAAAAATAAACAAACAAATAAATAAAGGCTATCGTTATAGAAACACCCGTTAGATGCCAACCGCTCTGATTTTATAGGTATCCTGTAATTTAAGACAACTCCGAGGGCACACTTGGATCCAGTTCACACTTGGATCAATTGATGCAGAGAGTCGCGTCCAAGGTCACAGGTCGGAGTTCAATGCCAGGCCTCGAAATAGAGGACCAACTCACCCAGGACCTCGGCTGGAGCTGATACGGGGGTGCAAGGGTCTGGATGCGGCGTTGCAAAGAGGAGGTGGCGATGGGGTTCCTACAGAGAGGGAGCCGAGCAGGAGCCGGGGTCCCTGCAGAGCCTGGGCCCCGCACGCGCCAGAGGCCACCGAACTAGGGTAAAGGGCGCGCGCAGCCAGAGGTGCCGCCCGCTCGTCCGCCCCCGGCAGGACCCGCCGCCAGCATCTCCGCCGTGCGACTGGTCCTGGGGCTTCGCGGGCGCAGCCCGAGCGCACTCACCTCGGCGGAGCGGGCCAGCTGCCCAGGCGAGCAGCGCAGCGGCCATGGTCGCGGACCTCCGGACCTCAGCAGCGGAATTGCTCAGACCGCAGGGGCGGGGCCTGAGTCACGCCCATCTGCCTTAGGGGCGTGGCCAGATACGCGCTTGCGCCCTAGGGACGAGACTTCGGGACATTAACTCCCGCCAATCCGGAGAGTGAAAAAAGTCTGTCAAAGCTCCTTTGTCAAAGTGCAAAGCTCCTTTTCCAGCCCTCATCTTTAGTAAAGTTGCTTACAACGCAGAGGCATTAAAAACAAAAAATAAGGGCCTGGAGAGATGGCACAGTGGTTAAGAGCACTGGATGCTCTTCCAGAGGACCTGGATTCAATTCCCAGAACCCATATGGCAGCTCACACCTGTCTGTAACTCCAGTTCCAGGGGTTCCAACACCAATGTACATAAAATAAAAACAAGTAATCTATCCTCAGTCAGGGAACCCATTCTCTAAATCAGTTCTATACAAATAGTGCATGCTCACACACACACATCACCCCAGTCCAAGCCTGTAATCCTAGCGACTCGTGAGCCTGAGGCAGGGGGATTTCGAGTCCCAAGCCTCCCTGTATTCCAAAGTAAATTCAAGGCCAACTTGGCCAACTTTCTGGTATCTCGGGACTACAGCTCAGTGGTAGAGCCCTTGCCTAGAGACATAAGGTACTGGGTTCCAGTACTAGGAAGAGAAGAAAAGAGCTAGTCCCTACCTCTGCCCACCCACTTCCGCATCTTGGTAGAGTAATCCCCGACTCCCTGGCCATCTTTGCTCCGGCCATACAAGGCAGGCAGCTTTTCTCCTTCTGCCTGGACGCTCTTCATAAAGGCCATCTCATCGAGGCTGCCCTGCCAGCATCCCTCCTCCTCTGGGATTAAAGGCATCCTCCAACTCCGGTTACATCTACCCGTTATCCTGGGAAGTTTTTAACTTTTTATTTCTCCCACTTGTCTTACGGTTTCCAAAGAGATCTGGAGGGCTCAATGCTAGGCCCACTGCATGGGGTTGCCAGGCAGGAAGAGCCCTCCCAACCTGAGACTTGAAACTGAGTTACTATCCCAAGCACCTCGGAGTTGGGGAGCAGGAGTGCTGCCCCTTAATGCCAAGTTGAGTCTTAGCACACTCAGAATACTTTCACTCCGTCAGGGAAACTATGTCCCTATTTGTCCATCTTTCCCTTCCCACAAAGTCTGGCGCTGCCTTAAAAGTAAAAAGAAGGTGAGTTCGAGGCCAGCCTGGTCTACAGAGCGAGTTCCAGGACAAGCTCCAAAACAATATAGAGAAACCCTGTCTCAAAAACAAAAATAACAACAACAACAAAAACAAAAGTAAAAAGAAGTCCGGTGGTGGTGGCACACGCCTTTAATCCCAGCACTCGGGAGGCAGAGGCAGGCGGATCTCTGTGAGTTCGAGACCAGCCTGGTCTACCAAGCGAGTTCCAGGACAGCCTCCAAAGCCACAGAGAAACCCTGTCTCGAAAAACCAAAAAAAAAGAACTAAGTCATGTTTTTCAACAGTGGTCAGAAACCATCTAAAACAAAGTTCTTTTGTTACTGGGAACTGTACACATACTAGGCATATAGTCTACAACTAAGCAGTACCCAACCTCAGGCTCAAGTTGTGACTGAACACATGCCTAAGATTTGCATTTTTAATTGTGTGTGTGTGTGTGTGTGTGTGTGTGTGCTTGTGTGTGCGCATGTGTGTATAATCTGATCCCTTGGAGCTGGAGTTACAGGTGGCAGAGGCTGTGAGCCAAGGGATCTATTTTCAGACTGGGTGATGCTAATGTCTTACATGGTGACTTTGTTGCATAAAAAGTCCGTGTGCTTGTGTGTCAGAATGTGTGCTGTTTTTGCTTTTCTTTCATGGTGGGGCTTGAATCCAGGGCAAGCACTATATTACTGAGCTATACCCCCAAACTGTACTTTTTTTTTTTTTTTTTTTGGTTTTTTCGAGACAGGGTTTCTCTGTGGCTTTGGAGGCTGTCCTGGAACTCACTTGGTAGTCCAGGCTGGTCTCGAACTCACAGAGATCCACCTGCCTCTGGCTCCCGAGTGCTGGGATTAAAGGCGTGCGCCACCAACGCCCGGCCAAACTGCACTTTTGGATTTACTTATTTTCTAAGACAGGATTTTCTAAGACAGGATTTTGCTATGTAGCCCAGGCTGCCTTTGAACTTCCAATCTTCCTGCCTGGGTACTTTGTTTTTTGTGTTGTTTTGTTTTTTGAGACAAGGACTCTCTGTGTAGACCTGGCTGTCCTGAAGTCACTCTGCAGACCAGGCTGGCCTCAAACTCAGATATCCATCTGCCTCTGCCTCCCATGTGCTAGGATTAAAAGCATGCACCACTACCTCTGGGCTTTGTACTCATTTTTATTTAAGAGTTATGTTCCTCCTGCAAGTATGCCTGCAGGCCAGAAGAGGGCACCAGATTGCACTAATGTGGGTGCTGAGAGTTGAACTCAGAACCTCTGGAAGAGGAGCCAGTGCTTAGCCACTGAGCCATCTTTCCAGCCCCTCAGCTACCTTTCATATATAACCCAAGCCCATCAACCTAGGAATGGCAACAAGTATGCCTGACCCTCCTCTGATTCCCCTGGAACTGGAGTCTCAGAGAGTCGTGAGCCACCATGTGGGTGCTGGGAATTGAATTTAGGTCCTCTGAATCACCAGTGCTCTTAACCACTGAGCCATCTCTCTAGTGCCTGTGTTTCCCACTTTTTAATGTGGGGGAACAACTTTTTTAAAAATCCCTTCCTTTAGGAATTCCCAAATAGTCTTACCAAGTCTGCAGACAGTGAACTATGGGTGTAGCCCGTCTGAATCAGAGGACTAGCTTGTGGCCACCAGCTGAGTGTGTCAGGAGAGGGGCTGTAGGGAAAGTCCATAACCTGTGTGTATGGGGGGGGCATTGAAAAACACTCACATGAGATGGTTAGGAAGAAACACATGTGACAGGAACGGCCTGATGGCAAAGCCTCCCAAGATTGGGTGGCAGCTGAACATGGTTTAGAAAGCTACAAAAGGAAAATCCCAAACTTGCTCAAAGATTTGGGGAAAAAAAACAAAAGAAAACCTTGCCAGTCAGGCATGGACGCCAGCAGGACCACCACCAGCAATTCAGGTCTGGGCCTGGGTTTATGGCTTCAAAGTGGCCTTTTCCATGAATTCGTACTTTAATGGTGGGTGCCAATATGTAACACGAATCACAAAAACCCAGAAGCAGATACTGGTGTTCAAGTTTAAGGTGAAGATCAGAGAAGCAAAGCAACCAGACACTAGCCCTTACCTCGGGCTGAAAGGGCTGTCCTGTCCTTAGTGTGGCTTGAGAATATTTTTGTAATACTAACTTTGCTTCTTCTTTTTATGCCTCTCAAATCCTGAGACTAAAGGCATGTGATCCCAAGTGCTGAGATCACCTTTGTGTGAGCTGTCTCTCTTTAGAACTAGATCAATTTCCTGTAGCATGGTATGGCCTTTAACAGCGATTCATCTGCCTGTCTCCTGAGTTCTTGGATTAAAGGTGTGAATCACCACTGCCTGGCTCTGTGGCTTGTGGCTGGCTTTGCTTTCTCTATCCCCAGGCAAGATTCAATAAATCATAAATATCACCACAGACATATTGTGAAAATCTTTATTACTGTCTCTTGTGGTAAAATATCTTATACAAATAGTCACCTGGTCTGTTCTGGAGTGAGGGTGTCTTGGGTGGAATGGGAAGGACAGAGATGTTTCTTTATACTCTGAAAAACAGACTTACAGAGAAAACAGACTTCCACAACTTTGATGACATCACATGATCCTTTGTGAAACATGGGGGTACCTCCCCCCAGCCCTCCTTTTGGCTACAATGCTCTGGACATGGAATGTGGACATTTTCATAACCTGTGGTCAGTCCCAGACACAGTAAAGCACTGACTGTCCTTGGAACAGGAAATGCCCAGAGCCTGGAGAAGCTTCTGAGAATCCGTGCAGGAGAGCGCCGGGCTAACCTGAGACACCAGCTGATCTCAGCCCCGGGTACTGGCCATCTTTACTCCATGTTTGTGGTTTAGAACAGAATAAAAGCAGATCAACTTCAACCTCAGAGAAGCAGAAGGGCAGCTTAGCCCAAGGCAGAGGGCAGGGACGGAGGCAGGGTTCTGCCTGGCTGCTGGGATGAGGTCTTCGTGGGAGCCGCCATCCGCTCAAACACAGGGCACAGCCTCCCAACACTGAGCAGTTTTTCTCTCCCGCTCTGCCACAGGAAGCCACTGTGGATGGTTGACATTCCTGAACAGCGTGACTTCTCACTGGCTTCTGCTGGTTACCTTCAAAGTGTGAATTCCAGTTTACATAAGTCAGGTACAAAGGTAGAAACAGCAACACAGGAAGCCAGACACTGTGGCCTTCATCAGCAGAGAACTGGTCCATCCCACCAACAATGACCAAGTCCCGGCCTGAGTGGTCTTCAACGTGACCACAACTACCTAGAAAGGAGATGCAGCCCTTCTCAAGCCAGTGTGCCAAGGTCCTCCATCCTCTGGGGCTCTCCAAGCAAAAGCCAGCACTACAGGCAAGAAACAGCCAGAAGACAGGAGCAGCCCAATCAGACTCCACTGAACAAAGATCACACAGCTCCAGCAAGCTGTTTCTAGGTAGTATTTATTTAAATATTGGAAGCCAAATCTCTCCTCATCTGAGTGTAACAGAGCAAGGGGCACCCTGAAGCTTGTCAAGAACAAAGTCCACCAGAGGACTGCGCAGGTGAGGAGCAATGGCAGGCAGCTCCCCTGCAGTGTAGGGCAGAGCACACTGAAGGCACCTGGGTTTGGAGTGGTCCAGCTCTGAGGGTCCCAGAATGGTTTCAGTGGGTAAATCCAGTGCAGCATGATGGGTCGCTAGGGCTTCCCATTCCAAGCATTGTCAGTTGCAGAGCAGACACAGAGCACAGGCCCCACGAAAACTCAAGGCTGTTCCTGCTCTAGAAGGCACACAGCTCTGACACTGGCCAACCAAAGCACGCGCTTCGGGAGCCTGCACTCTCCCAGGAGACATGGTGCCACAGACATACATCTGCCCCCTGCTACTGACACTCCCATCAGCGCTAGATGGACCTGCACCTAAAGCTGCCCACACAAACAGCCCACACAGAGACTGGAGTTAGTCAGTGAGGCTCTGAGGACCCCTGATGCCCATGGCAAGAGCAGGAAGCTGTCTGAGGACACAGGCAACCTCAGCCGATGCTGCCGGTTCCAAAAACACCAGCAGCTTAAAGAAAGATGAGAATATTCGTGGCTCAGGACATCTGCCAGGTGGTTCCAGAAACGACTTCAGTAGAGAGGCAAACAGACAGGAAAACACTCCTGAGAGGAAACCCAGGCGAATCCCGAGCGAGGCCCATCCCCGGGCTCACTGTGCAGACAGGTCAGCCCTAGCAGAGGTCTACCCGGACGTACGCAGGTACTACACACTGACACTGTGTAAGACACCGTGTAAGAACTTCCCAGAAGTCTGAGGACTAACAGCCCACAGCACAACAGCCTGAACTGAGCTCGAGACAAGTGTTCTGTGAACAAAACTGACATGGTCCACTGCAGGAGAAGTCACGGCCAGGGGAGCAGAGCATGCTCGTTCATGCGACCTCGAAGAGTAAGAACAGGAAGGCACCACCAGGCTGAGACCATGGTCTCCCCTAGGACTGGCTGTGGGTCCCCGAAGGCAGAGAAGCAGTAACCTCAAAGGCCTGCCTTTCAGTCTGGCATCACCCCCATCCCAGTGCCTCAGCCCCGGGCTCTGCCCTCCCTCCCCGTCTTTTCAAATTTCCTGCAGTCGGCTTCAGACTGTACACAGGCTGAGGGCAGGCTGTGCCAATGCAACACTGTGGCGAGGGAGGAAGCGAGGGGCTTTCCACTGCCCACGGCACCCAGGAACCTGCAGAATGGCTGGTAACCCTCAGGCTGGCTCAGCCTGTGCCTTCTCACTGACACAGCCGTGCCTGGACAGTCAGGCTTGTCGGGATAACCAATGCATAGCTAAGACTACACAGGAATAAAGGTTTTTATCTGGATCCCAGGAACCTTATCCTAATCTTTTACTTTGCTATAATACCTCTGCGAACTAGGGAGCAGGGGAAAAAATTCTGGGAAAAGAAACTGCTGGCCGGCACCTCCTTGGAGCACAAACCACGACCCCAGCTGCAGCTTGCTGGACCATGCTCATCGGGAGTTGACAAGCAGTAGCTGCAATTCCCCTATGTGCCTCGTGGTGGCAGCAAAGGACCATCGTTGTCCACTCCTGGGGCAGTTACTGGCCTCCATTATAGGCATAGTCAGCCTTGTTGTGCATTATCAGCTTGTTGTCAACGAAGTAGAAGCTGTCCGAGCGGGTCTCATACGGGTTTTCGATCATTAGACGAACTGCAAGTTGGGGAAAGGGAAGAAAAAGCAAAGACTATGACTATGTCCAACAACTAAGTATAAAAACTCAGCATTCCTCAACCATTGATAAACCAACCCTTTGCAAAGTTTGACTCTGCTCTGCCAGGATAGCAAGGTAAGTAAAACAAAAGGATCCGGGAGCCAAGGGCTGCGGATGGAACATGAGGTCAGCTTCCCTACAAGGATGCAGTCACCTCTGTGGCCACCCCTTCTCTGTCACAGCCACTCACTTCCTCAGCGCTCCTGATGGCCCAGCAAGCCCTGGAGCTTCTGGCCTGCTGCCCAGCGCTAGACATTTCAGTAAAAGCCCTTGGTCCTGCCTTGCTATACCTGCTTCTTTGGGCTGTTTTGTTTGTGGAGACAGGATCTCATTGTAATACTCTATCTGGCCCCAAATGTGAAGAGCTCTGCCTGCCTCTGCCAGCCCAAGTGCTGGGGGTAAAAGGAGGCGCCACCATGCCCAAATTACTTCTTTGGTTTTTTTGATAACTTTTCCTTTTTTTTTTTTTTTTTGACAGGGTTTCTCTGTATAGTTTTGGAGGCTGTCCTGGAACTTGTTCTGTAGACCAGGCTGGCCTCAAACTCACAGAGATCTGCCTGCGTCTGCCTCCTGAGTGCTGGGGTTAAAGGCGTGCGCCACCAACACCAGGCCTGTTTTGATAATTCTTAAAAATGTATGTTATTGTATGGGTGTTTTTTGCCTACATGTCTGTGTACCACACTTTCAGAGGCCACAAGAGGGCATCAGATGCCTGGAACTGGAGTTAGAGATAGTGAGCTACCTTGTAGGTACTGGGAATTGAACCCAGGTCCTCTGGAAGAGACGCCAGTGCTCTTACTCATCTCATCTGCTGAAAGCCAAAGGAATCTTAGGTATTCATCCAGATGAATAATAGGGAAGCCACTCTCTAGAGAGGACTCTGGTATTTATTTACCTGTGAGATCCAGACAAGGCCTAGAACTAAAGCCTCTATCTGTGTGTCTGTGTGTCTGTCTGTCTGAATTCTTGCCTTGACCTCCTTCCACACTGGAAGGTAAATGCAATTATAGTTACCTCCTGTCAGTTCTCTGATTGAATAGACTCTTGCCATCTCCAGTGTCCCCAGGAAAGGCATTGCAGGTCTTAGAAGGTATCAGAGATTTTAAGCTCCCTGAGCATACCCAGGCCAAAGACTCCGTTCACATTCAGATGACCTCCAAACCCTGTGGCCTATCTGGCTTCACAGGTTAATCCATTTTTCCAACTCAAGTTAAGATGTCACAAAGCTGAGCCCCACGTCAGCAGACTTCTCAGCTGGGTGTGTTGTTGTGAGGGTGGAGTGCCCACTCCAGACTGTGCGCTCTTAAGGGCCTGAGACTGTGAGAGAATGCCACAGTGTTGACTGTGAAATGTGTGGACGAAGTAAGTAGGACAGAGTGGAGCTGGGAGGAGAGTGAGGAGGAGGAGGAGGAGAAGGAGGAAGAGGAGGCGGAGGAGAGTGAGGAGGAGGAGAAGGAGGAGGAGGAGGAGGCCGAGGAGAGTGAGGAGGAGGAGGAGGCGGAGGAGAGTGAGGAGGAGGAGGAGGAGAAGGAGGAAGAGGAGGCGGAGGAGAGTGAGGAGGAGGAGAAGGAGGAGGAGGAGGAGGCCGAGGAGAGTGAGGAGGAGGAGGAGGAGGAGAAGGAGGAAGAGGAGGCCGAGGAGAGTGAGGAGGAGGAGGAGGAGGAGGAGAAGGAGGAAGAGGAGGCCGAGGAGAGTGAGGAGGAGGAGGAGGAGGAGAAGGAGGAAGAGGAGGCCGAGGAGAGTGAGGAGGAGGAGAAGGAAGAGGAGGAGGAGGAGGAGGAGGAGGAGGAGGAGGAGGAGGAGGAGGAGGAGGAGACTGTCCTATCTACTCAGGCCCGGGGTGCCTGTGTCACTACACTCTTCCTGAGTCCCACAGAAGCGGTCAGAGTGTGAAACACACAACTGAGGTCAGACGACACCAAGTCAGCGCTTCTGCAAAAGGAGCCGCGGGACCAGATGCATGGTTTGATCCTTGCAGACCTCAGAATCTACAGTCCTGAAGAAAGACTGAGGGAATACATACTGACATCCTCAGAGAGCTGCGGGAACTCATAGATGTGCTCACACGTGTTTCTGCTGCTGGGGATGCAGAAGCCGAAATCAAAGTCGAAGTTCTTCAGCAAACGCTCCCGGAAGTAATGCCGTTCAATCATCCGGAAGTTTGACACAGGTCTGTCCCCCACGGTGAACTCTACCCTGTAAAACATGTCCTTATTAGCCTTACTTCACTTCCTCCTTCCTCTGAAGCCAACCTCAACCCCAGTGAGCACATTCTTCCCCGAGAACAAGCACCATGTTCTGCCCTCATAGAAACAACAGCACTCACGTGGCACCAACTGTCCGAAGGCGGAGAAACGCTGGTGTGAACTGGTAGCGAACGAAACGGCCTACGCTGACGTCCACGTCGACGCTCTCCTCCTCTGCCTCCGGGTCTTGGTCTGGAAGAACAGCCTTCCTTAGCATGCATGCCAACATCACAGCTTCTGACTAACAGACTCACACTAGGTACCCCATTTGCTACACGCTTGCTGCGCGCCAGGCTTCACAGTGGCCCGGCAAGGAGGAGTTACATGTGCTTCTATTTCATAGACAAGGAAACGAGTTCAAAAGGCTGTCGTGCCAAACGTTCCCAAACACTTAACGAAGGTAGCAAGTTCTGAGTGAGGCCCACCTGCCTCAGCCTGTCTTTAAACACTGCTATCTGCCTCCATCATCTGGGGAGTGGGCATGTCCTGGGTGAAGCCAGAAACACAAGTTAGATACAGTCTGTGACATGACCCTTACCATAGACTAGGAGACTAGGTCACAGAGGCTTCACAGTCCCCATGCCCCTTCAAACAATACACACACTTAGGAAAGCAAACACTGGGAGTAACTGTAATTTCAATAAAGACACTGACCTACAGCCCCGAGGCAGTGCTGTTTATTCCTGGCCAGGAACCAGCATGTAGACCAGCATGGGGTCAATGCCTGCCTCTGCTGTAGCCTACTGTTGAGTCCAGATAAAGATCATAGCTGTTGTGATATGAGCTTGGAGGGAGTTTTCCACTGTCTCAGACATGGGTACCATCAGCACCAAACATCTCTACCTGTGACATCCCAGGAGCACTGGGAAGCTACCCTGATTTGGGGCTCCCACTGACAGGTTAAGGGCCCTGGATCCACCGGTGTGATTCCAGCTCATCGGATACGCCCTGCAGGAGGACACTGCACTGGTGTGAGCACTTAAGGGCAGAGCTGGGAGGGATGGAGGCCACACACCTTGCAGCATCTGCAGCAGGTTTTCAGAGGCTTCAGTGCCTTGATCAGGATTGAATTCTGATGGTAGAAACACAAGGCAAGGCTGAGCCAAGGCTCAGTAATTCATCTAAGCCTTTCCTAGGATGGATAGTCCGTCTGTCTGTCCATCTCAGTGTTGGAGACCAGGCCTTTTGCTGACCAAGCGCTCCTGAGAGGCAGCCCCAGCTGGGGAGAGTCATTTTGATTTCTCTGAGATCCTGACACCTATCTTCACAGAGCTGCAAGCTTATGCTGAGTAGCAAATCAAATAAAAACTTTGCAAAATAGGTTTCATTAGAAATTAGAGTTGAGGCTGAACAGACAGCTCAGTGGTTAAGAGCACTAGCTACTCTTCCAGAGGTCATGAGCAACCACATGGTGGCTCACAACCATCCACAATGAGATCTGGTGCCCTCTTCTGGCCTGCAGGCAGACATGCAGACAGATCACTGTATAGGTAATAAATCAAAAAAAAAAAAATCAGAGTTGAGTCGAGTCGGGTGTTGGTGGTATACCCCGTTAGTCTCAGCACTCAGGAGGCAGAAGCAGGCAGATCTCTGTGAGTTTGAGGTCAGCTTGGACTACAGAGTGAGTTCCAGGACAGCCAAAGCTACACAAAGAAACCCTGTCTCAGAAAACCAAAATAAATAAATAAATAAATAAATAAAGAGATCACAGTTGAGGGGCCAAGAAGATGGCTCAGTGAGTAAAGTGCTGGGGAATAATCCTTCTAGACACTGTGTGAATATATGCTGTCACTGGGTTAATAAACAAGCTGACTGGCCAATAGCTGAACAAGATAAAGTTAGGTGGGAAAGCCAAACTGAAAATTATGGGATGAGGAAGGATGGAGTCAGAGGAGTCGCTAGGATACTCAGAGTGATCAAGACATGCTGGAGGACAGCTAAAGCCACGAGCCACTTGGAGATACATAGATTAATAGAAATGGGTTAAGCTGTAAGAGTTAGTTAGCAATCAGCCTGAGCTATATCAGCTGAGCAGTTGTAATTAATATTGGCCTCAGTGTGTTTATTTGGGAGCTGCTGGCTGGACAGAAACTTCTGCCTACGGTAAAGTACTTGGAAACCTGAGTTCCTCCATCCCTGTGCCCTCCGAGTGGGAGGAGAGAACCAACTCTCACAAACTGTCCTCTGACCTCTTTATTTCTGCGCCCTCCCTCCATACACATACCATACTCATTCATGATAACAATAAAAATTAAAATCAGAACAAAAACCTCCACTACAATCCACCCTGAGAAGTAGAGGTGCAGGACAGGTCAAGGTCATGTTCATTTAAACAGTGAATTTAAGGCTAGCTCAAACTACACGGATCACGTCTCAAAACAAAACCTAAAATAAAAACAAGCAACAGAGCAAAAGTCAAAGAACAAGCTGTTCTTGCACCTGAGAGCTCAGGGACTATATCCTGGGACTCATCTTCTGTCACCCACAGTCAGTAAGGAATGTTGTCTTGGAGGCTGTTGTATACTTAATAATAATCTTTAAAAACAAACAAACAAACCCACGGGGCTGGGAAACTGGCTCAGTAGTTAGTCCTTCTTGCAGAGGAGTCAAGTTCAGCTCCCAGCACCCCTGTCTACAAATCACAGCTGCCTGTAACTACAGTACCAGGGGATCTAACACCCTCTCCTGACCTCCAGAGGGAACCATACTCATGTACACAAACCCATGATGGACACACACTATGTACATATATAATTTTCTTTTGGGGAGGGGGTTGGAGACAGGGTTTCTCTGTGTAGCCCTGGCTGTCCTGGAACACATTCTGTAGACCAGGCTGGCCTTGAACTCACAGACATCCGCTTGCCTCTGCCAGCCCAGCGCTGGAATTAAAGGTGTGCACTACTACCACCTGGCTTAAAAAAAATTAACCTTTTAACAAAGCTCCAAACTAGTGCAACTGACAGGCGAGGCCACAGGAAGTGATCTCAGTCACAGAATGGGGACACAGTGGAATCCAGAAACACATGTGTTGGCACAGGCATACAAACACGGGGCTTTCCAAAGATCTTTCCTCCCCCAGGCGGTGGGTGACCCCACAATACCCAGGCCTACCTGAGATGCAAGGCTTGGCAATCTCAAAGAGCACCGTCCCCGTCTCCAGATCTCGAATTTTGAAGCGTGTAAAATCAATACTGTAGACATTGTCTTCAGGTTTACATAAATAATCTGAAAAGGAGAGACCAATGTTATTAAGTAATCTTCCAAAATTACCATCTATTTCATTCCCTGGTTTTCAAGCAAATGTGTTCTTCTCTGATGCAATTCACTGAAAATGTTTCCCCAAACATTCTTACATTTTTTAGGATTTATTTTTATTTCCTATGTCTGGTGTTTTGCCTGCATGTAAGCATCACACTCAGCAGTGCTGGAAGAGATAGGAAGAGGGCATCAGATCCCCCAGAACCATAGTACTGGTAGTTGTGAGATGCCAAGTCCCCTGGTTGAGTGCTCTCAACCACTAAGCCATCTCTCAAGGTCCAAACATTCTCTTTTAAAGTTTGTTTAACCTTTACTCTTATTTTATGTGTCTTGGTAACTGTTCTATTGCTATGAAGAGACATCATGACTAAGGTTAACTCTGACGAAAGAAAGATGTAGCCGGGAGCTTGCTTACAGTTTTAGAGGTTTAGTCTGTTATTATCATGGCAGGGGGCATGGTGCCAGCATAGAGAGAACATGGTGGGAGCATGGCAGCACAGCTGGCATCAGAGCAATAGTTGAGAGCTACATCTTGATCTGTAGGCAACAGACAGAGATGCTGGACCTTCTGTGAGCCTTTTGAAACCTTCATGCCCACCCCAGTGACATGCTTCCTCCAACAAGACCACATCCAATTCTTCTAATCCTTTCAAACAGTGCCACTCCCTGATGACCAAGTATTCAAACACACCAGCCTATGGGGACCATTCTATTCCAACCACCACAATGTGTATGGGTGTTTCACCTGTATCCCATGGGTACAGTGTCTCCAAGTGTCAGATGATGCCTTATCCCCTAGGATTGGAGTTATAAGTAGTTGTGAGCCATAGTATGAGTGCTAGTAATCCAGCCCAAGTCCTCTGGGAGAGTAGCCAGAAGTCTTCACATTAAGCCATCTCCCCAGCCCCTAAACATCCTCTTGTACTATCAAAATTAGAAAATTCAAGAAGGAAATGGCTCAGAGACACATCATATACATGTATGAAATTGTCAAAGGATAAAAGATTTAAAAAAGTATTTAATACATATTGAGTAACAATATAGGGTTTGTTTGCCAACTGTATCAGAAAACACATCAACACGTTTCTGGAAAAGGCCAGGTTAGAAATAACTCCGATTCTGCAGCCATACAATGTCTGACTTAACTCCTCAACTCTCACTGTAACCCAAAGGTCTGTGGATAGGAAGGGAATGAGCAACACTACAAAAAGAAACAGTTGGTGCACATGGAAGCCAAGTTCAATAGCCGCATGTAACAAGAGTTTAACATCTACTTCAACCACTTAAAAGATTAAAGCCATGCTTAGTCTGTGGGCTGCACAAAGCACACACACACTAACAGGCAGCAGGAGAAACGGGCCAGTGAGAATATCAGGCCAAAACAGCCCCACAACAAGCCGAGAAGCCAGCCAAAACTGCACGCCACAGAAAGGCTGTTGCCTTGTCTGAAGACTCCCCACAGCATCTTCTCCGGCTCCTTCTGCACTATCTTAACTTGTTTGGGTCAGGTGTTTCATGTTTTACAAGCAGGTCAGTCTCCAGTGAGATAGCAAACTTGAAAGCTACTGTAACTCCAAAACCCTGTGGTGTGAGTTGAATCTTTGGGAGGCTCAAGAAATAACTCACAGAAGTGAGAGACAAACTCCAAAGGTCACTAAGCTCTGGTAGCGGCGGCTATCTCTAAGGACTTGTAGGATGGGCAAAGGATGGGCCTGGGGGCTGTTAGTATGTCTACAGGACCAGGCATTTGAAGTCCTAACTCACCCTTGATGCCAGGAGCCAGCAAGGCGCACAGACAGGATGTTAGTGGTCAGGTGCTAACCATTTCTGTACTTTCAAATCCCCAAATGGAAACAGAGAACTGAAACAGCTTTTCACCGGTCCAACTATCTAAAGTTGCATTCAGGCAGCAAACAGGAGTCCCAACCCAGTGTCAAGAAACTGGGTCATGCAAACTCAAAACTATTTTAGGAGACGGAGGTTTCCTTTTGCACAGGCTGAACCAGTAGTAGCCACTTTCCCTCAAACTCCCATTTTCAAGTCGCCAGAGCTACCACCACCAACCTGAACTACACCTCACAGCCATGGGCTGTGAGTGAAGCAATCCGGCAGACACTCTGATCCTTCAGGGAGGCGGGTTAAGAAGGGGAGGTAAGGAGGGCAAGCCAAGGCTAACCAGGTGACTGCAAACTCCAGGGGGTAAATAATAGCAAGGAAAAGGGTGTCAGGTCAGGGCCGGACTTGGCAGTTTCCAAAAGACAGAGATCAGCAGGAAACAGACACTTATTTCTCCCAACCCTTCCTCACGCAGCTAAGAAGACAGGAAGGTGGCTTTTTATGCAAAAAAAAAAAAAAGTCACACTGCTGAAATCCTGACACAGCTGTAAACTCACTAGAAAAAAATGTCAAGAGCAAGATGCGCGTGCGAGCTTGTACATAACACTGAAACTTTAAACTTTATTTTTGTTGTTGTTTTTTTTTGTGGCACAGCTTTTTAAGTCTGCAAGAAATGCGACGGCCACGTGTTTGACGGCAGCACAAGCCCCACCTATACACAAAGGGCACCGCTTGGGGACCCGGAGGGGACCCAAGCTCGCCCGGGTGGGGGAGGGACCGTCAGGAGCCTGAGCCGAGGGAAAGGCGGAGTCAGCAGGTGGGGGCTCCGGCCCAGAGGGCTGCGGAAGCCGAGGGGAGATGAGCGGGGTGGGCGGGAACCTGGCTAAGCGCTGGGGTCCCGGGAGGACAGGATCGGGCCGGGCCCACCTACGGCCGGACTCTGGGAGCCCTTGCCCGCCGTGTCTGGCAAAGGGGCCGACAGGAGCACGGCCTGGCCGGCTGAGCGGTCCCCAGAGCCACCTCACAGCCCCGGCCCGCCACGGGCTCCCGGGCTCAGCGCCCTCGGAGGGCCCGGCCGGCCCGCTCGCCCGCCACTCACTCTCGGTGACCCGGTTGAGGCGCAGGACGTGCTCAGGGCGGATCGTGTCCAGCGCCAGCAGCTCCTGCTCCGTGACCGCGGCCCCGGTGCCGTCGTCGGCCGTGTGTGTGGGCGCCTGGCGCCGCGCCTTGAGCCGGTTCAGGACGCCGCCGCCCGCCTTCTTCTTCTCCTCCTTGCCAGCCACCAGCCCGCCGGGCCCAGCCGCCGGCCCCGCGCTCGCAGCCTTCGGGTTCGACCCGCTCATCGCTCCACAGCCAAGATGGCCGCCACCTCACGGCGCCGTAACTATGGAGAGCGGGGGCGGGGCCTCAGGGAGGGGCCCGGTGGCCTGGGGGCGGGGCCTGAGGGGAGCCACTACCAAATCCAACTTTAGACCTATCAGGTGTGAAAGGGCTTTGGCTGAGACCTGAGGACTTTCACACCTCGCTCTTATCAGGTCCTCAGGGTCACCCTTGATATTTTAAATATATCTTTAAAGAGTAACTAAACAAAAATAGAAGTGAAATATATTCTTAGTCAAATGAACTTCTATAGCATAAAAAGTGGACAGACATTTTGGGAACAATGTTACTAGACTGTAAGTTCGCACTGCTTGCTGTGCAAAGATAAACTTTTCAATTAGTTGGTTGTCTCTGGAGGGATGGCTCAGCAGTTAAGAGAACTGGCTGCTCTTTCGGGGACTCGCTTGATTCCCAGCAAGCACGTGTGTCAGTTGGATACCCTCCCACACAAGGGGTGTACAGATCATGCAGGCAGAACACTCACACCTATAAAATAAAATTTAAATATAAAAAGTAGACTGCTAGTGCTAGGTCCCTGTTATGTCAGCCACTGGTCTAAGACATTGGCCTAGGTGGGCTTTGGGAAATAAAAACCCAGCAACTGGATCTGTCTAGTTTTTCAGAAATGGTTGACTGAGAGAATGCCTTTGTTGGTTCTCTGGAACCCTCCGTGGAGCAGCTCCCAGTTTGCCAGGGAAGGCTCAAGTCTGCCAGTTATTCCGTGACCCTTCCTGAGAGGTGGCTAAGTGGAAAGGAGCAGACAGACAGACTGACTGTTCACTCCTGTTAAGAGGCTTAGCAAGAGTACTAGAAGTCAGGGAGGGTTTCACAGACGCGACAGTGGTACCAGCAGGTTGGATGGAAGCTCTGTTCCTCTACCACAAGCGGCTCCTCTCAGGGTTCTGTGTGCGTGTGTGTTCAAAAGTGTGCATGCAGGCATAACACAGGTGTAAGCGTTTCGGGATGGGTTGGGACAGGATGAAACAGGAGTGGGTCAGGTATGGTATTCTGGCACTCGGGAGTCACAGAATACTCAGTGTTACACAGCTCAGGTGGAAAGGTATTCTGGAGCTCGGGAGCCAAGGACCACCACAGGTTACAGGAAGCTTGGCAGCTTACAGCCTTGCCTCAGAGAAAGGCTTCTCCTGTGTATCAGCTCCGCTCCGGCAGGACAGGGTCTTCCAGCTGGGGATGTTCGCCTAGTGTAGCAGTTTTGCTAGGCAGGAGGTTTCTCGGGAGAAGTTGCTACAGTTCAGCTCTGCTCCTGGAGAGCAGAGAGCCGGAGCAGAGTGTAACAACTCCGCTCTGCCGAGGAAGGTTTCCCGGGCAAGTGTTACAGCCCTGCTTGCTCTGCTCTGCCCAGGGTCGCCTCTGCTCTGTTGCCGCTGCAAAAGAAGATCTTTACCCAAAGCTCATCCAAAGGGGTTTATTGGAAGGCAGCTGGACCAGCCAAGCTGAACATACACAGGGTTTATACAGGGATTCTTGGGGGTGGGGAAGTTTTTCCAAAGTAGGGATTGGTCCGATTTCAGTGCTGAGCTCAGATTGGCTAGAGCTCTGCTCCAGGATTAGTTACTTTTTTACACAGGATTAGGGGCAGATTTGGCTCTGGTTTCAGGGCCAAAGTGTGTTTCTTTCTCTGGTCCTTCTTAGCCTTTTGGCTCCAATTTTAGGGCCAGGGTACATTTCTTTCACTGACTCTGATTCCAGGGACAAAGTGTGTTTCTTTGGCTCTGCTCAGGGTGTGTTTCTTTGACTGGTCCCTTTTCCCTACAACAGGTGTGCATGTACACATTAAAGGACAATTCTGTGGAGTCTCTTCTCTCCCCCAACCTTTAAGTGGGTTCTGGGAATTGAACTTGGGTCTGCATGTAGGCCTGGTGATCTGTGATCCAATGTTAGGATCACAGTGTGAAATCCAAGCCTGCTGATGGTCAGCCTCCAGACATCATCATCTCACCAGAAACTGAGGGTTTGGGAAGTGGTCGTTAGGCCTCACATTGTCCCTGAACAGAAGAAGCCTCACCTGGTCCTAGCCCAGGCGCCAAGTTCTTGGCAAGCGCCCAGGGCGCTTACCCAGCTGTTCAGGAAGATTTTAATGTGCGAAGAGAACCGAAAGTCTTTCCTTTGGAAACAGCTCTTTATTTATCTATTTATCTATTTATATGCATTTTATGTATATGAGTGCTTTATGTATACATTTTATGTATATGAACACTCTCTGCATGTACTCCTGCATGCCAGGGTTGTGAGCCACCATATGGTTCCTGGGAATTGAACTCAGGGCCTCTGAAGAACAGAGCCTCTTAAGTGCTGAGCCATCTCTCCAGCCCTGAAACAACTCTTTCTTAAGGCACACAACAGTGAGTGGCTACTGAACATCTTCCAGAATGCTATTTGATCTTGATTTGCCAAGAAGGTAGTTCAGCATGCTGTCATTTCCCAGAATCTCACTCAGAACACTAAGACTAGAATTATCTAGACTCAGTTTTGGTTTCCTTTCTAGGGATCTTGACGAATGTATTTGCTCCATCTGTAATTCCACACTTGAGAATTTGGATCCCTAAGGCTCACATGTTGGAAGGAGACAACTGACTCCCATGGTTTCTTCTCTGGCCTCCACACATGTACATGGCATACATGTACCCACACACAAATAAATGAGTGTGATCAGAAAACAAAATTGAGAGCTTATGATCTGGGCCTGGAAGACAGACCCTAAACTAAAATAGTTCCACTTGGCACTTAAAGACAGAGCATACAGTTCAGTGTATGGTATCTGCCCAGGTATAAGTATGAACGCCTACGGTCCAGATCTCACAGTGGCACTGGAAAACAAACAAAAACCTCATATTTTTATTACATTTTCTACCAAGAAAAGTGAAAGATTGTCATATAAAGAAGCTGGGACCTGTCCTCTGGTAACTGCCTATGAACTGTCGTTAAAAGGAATAGACTGTGTCTTCAGGGATGCATACACGTGCAACCACACGTGAGAAAAACAGACCTACAAACACAAAGGCGGGGAATACACTACACCCGCCCCCCAACAGGGTCTCACTGTGTAGCCCTGGCTGGCCTAAGACTCACTCTGTAGACCAGACTGGCTTCAGACTCATGGAGATCGGCCTGCCTCTGCCTGCCGAGTGCTGGGTTAACAGTGTATACCACGGCCTGGCTCTACAGTTGCATTTTTAACAAGGTTGGGAAACTAGAGTCATGACCCCTAATCTTTCTTCACTCTCTTGGAAAGGAAGAAAAAAGTCTTTAGAATTGCATATACTGATAGCTTGAAGAAGGAAAGAAGACAGAATTACTGCACTAAACAGTAACTGGCCTCCCTTTGACCCCCAGCACTGTGCTCTGAGTCTTTCCAGGCACTGTAAGAGGCATGACTGTGACTGTTTTCCAAGGCAGTACCACCCACAGTACCCAGGCAGCCTGCCTCAGCTCAGGCCAGGCAGGTGGGGCCTCTCTACAGATGGGGTGAGGGGCAAGTCCTCCCTCCTGCTGCCTCCCTAAGGGTGGCTTGCCTTAAATCAGCAAGCTCTGGCTGAATGGCAAGCATACCTTGTGGTCTGGGACCAAAGAATAGTAATTACCCTGGTATCCAAGTCACTCCACTCCCAGGCTGAGGGCTGGTTTTTGTTCTTTCTAAAGGCACCAATTCATTATTTATACCCTACCTGTTCCCTCAAAGATATTTTTAGCATATTCTAAAGTCATATGGTACATGATTGATAAATACAGCTTTTCATAGCCTTGTGGAGGGGTAGTATGTGTTATTAATCAGTAATTCTGGAAGAGTGTGCGGTACTTTGAATAATGTCCCTTCATAGGCTTGTATATGTGAATACTTGGTTCCTAGTAGATGGAACTGTTTGGGACAGGTTGGGAGGTGTGGCCTTGGAGGAGGTGTATCACTGGGGGGTGGGGGGTTTGAAGTTTCAAAAGCCCATGCCAGGCCCTGTTAACTCTCTGCATCTGGTTGTGTGTCAAGATGTGAGCTCGTCAGCATGCAGCTTTGATCCCAGCACTTGGGAGGTAGAGGCCAGCCTTCTGCAGAGCAAGTTCTAGGACAGCCTCCAAAGCTGCAGAGAAACCCTATCTCAGAAAAAAAAAAACAACAACAACAAAGGAAGATGTGAGCTCTCAAACTTACTGCTCCAGTGCTCCCCTGCCATGAGGGTTGTGGATTCAAGTCCTCTGAAACTATAAGCCCCTTTTTGGTTTTTTTGGCTTTTTTTTTTTTTTAACGAGACAGGGTTTCTCTGTATTGTTTTGGAGGCTATCGGCCCAGCCCGGCCTCAAACTCACAGAGATCCGCCTGCCTCTGCCTCCCGAGTGCTGTTGTTTTTTGTTTTGAGACAAGGTTTGGCTGTCCTGCAACTCACTGTGTATCCCAGGCTGGCCTAGAACTTAGATCTCCCGCCTGCCTGCAGCACCAACATGGGATTACAAGTATACAGCACCACTTGTGGTTTTCACAGGGTGCTGGGGAATCCTGTGCTTCCACAACAAACACCTTACCCAGTGAACCATCTCCTCAGCGCCTGTGTTATATATTATACCACTAAGTCTTAAAAGATTACTTTCTTGTGAATCTTTTGTTTTCTGTATGTGGGTATTTGCCTGCATGCATGTCTGCTCACCGCTTGCAATGTCTGGTGCCCACAGAGGCCAGAGGAACCAGATCCCATGGACCTGGGGTTACAAATGTCTGTGAGCTACCATGTGGGTACTGGGACCAAGCCTGTGCCCTGTGGAAGAACAGCAGATACTCTTAACCTCTGAGCCATCTCTCCAGCCAAGGTTACTCCCTCCTCTTTTTTCTTCAAGGCAGGGTTTCTCTGTGTAGGAGGATCTCTGAGCTGGAGGTCAGCCTGGTCTACTGAGTGAGTTCCAGGATAGTCAGGGCTGTTACACAGAGAACTCTATCTTGAGAAACAAAAAAACAAAAAACGAAACAAAACATTGTGTGTGGGCAACATCTCACAAAATG